ACGATGTCTAAATCTGTTCTATTCTTGTTTAATTTATCCACGTTTAAAGTCAACAACGTATTTGAACGTTATCTTTAACATCTCTAATGTAACGTTAGGCTAACGTTAGAAAATGTTGACGTTAGCTTCTAGCTGCGTTGTACATCATGTCACTTAGCACAACACTAAACGTGGATAAATTAAACAAGAATTAAACAAGGATGTCTACATCTGTTCTAAGTCAACAACGTATTTGAACGTTATCTTTAAACATCTCTAACGTAACGTTGACGTTAGCTTCTAGCTGCGTTGTACATCATGTCACTTAGTTTCATTAACGTATCTTTAAATAACCGAGATAACAAATGTTAGCAATGTTGTGCTGAATGATTCATGTAAATACTGCAGTGCATGAACAATGCTGATCCTCTATCTTGTTGTCTGAGATGGTGATGGCAACGAGATGCGGTTTATCACGTTTACACTGTGACCTGTAAATGTTTGCCTGGAGCTGAAGCTTTTCATCGACCTTCTCAACAATAAAATTATTAATATAACCCTCCAATGAATAGTTAAGGCCCTTTTGGTGACTTCGAGATGATATATAATCTTTCTGTCTCCAAAAATCATCAATTGCCTCCTGTGAAATGTCTCCTACTGGGACAGCGCCGGTCACCGAATGTTGACTGTTTGTCCGAGTGAGTGGAGGGGGCGTGGCTTAGCCATAGGTCAATTGCAGTTTAATTTTTCGGTAGCCCTTTATTTTACAGTGGCCTTGCTACACGTTACATGTAGTTACTATAGTAATAACTATAAATTATGCATAATTACTGTGTGCGTGTGTTTCACCCTCGTGATATGTTCTGTTACATTTTTCCTTAATTTCATTATTAGAAAACCTGTTTTTATCACTTCAGCTGACCCCATTTTAAAACCCTGAGTGGGAATGCGGAGGGAGCTGATGCCTGCATATGGCACACAGACCCAACCGGATGTCAGAGCTCAAAAATAACCCTCAATACTTTCATTATAATATGTCAAAGTTCAAACATTAATCAATGGACATTATACTCACAAGGTCATTGACATTCCAATTAGTCAACGGTCATACATCATTTTCATCCCCGGAGGATAACCAAAGGACCCATTCGACCATCCACAGAGTCCATGAGTGTCTGTCATGACATCCCCTATGTTGCTAACATGATAATTATTCACTATTCAGGTAAAAAGGTTGCTGGTCAAGCCCAAGGATTGGTCCATGAACTACCCATTGTGTCTTTGAGCACGGTCTCATATAGTCAAACTTGTGTCTATTGGCATTAAGTCTGGTCCAGTTTTTCCGACTATTCTGGCCAAGAACCGCCTACTCAGACCGTCTGGCCGACATGTAAATCAATAAAGCAGTTTGTTTTGTTTTTACATGTCGTTTTGTGGTGGGAAAAAATTCCCATGGCTGTCTACATACAGAACACAAAGCTTCAAACTAAACTCTGATTGTCCTTCAAAGATACTACAGGTGGATAGATACTAGGGGTGGGGGGAAACAAATCGGTTCTTAGATGCATCGCCATGCGGACGATTCTAAATCGAATCACAAATGTCAAAAAATCAATTTTCTATATGTTAATTGATAACGTTATGTTGATGGAAGGCAAAAGGCGCCTGGACAGTCTGTCTCATACATGGGTCTGAATATAAAATGCTGTAATGTTAGAGAAAACCAGGCCTGAGAATATGGGCAGACAGAAACTATGGGAGGATAGAACACCAGGTCAAAGAGTATGAGGGACTAAGACTGTGATATGAATAACAGATCAAAGGGTATGTGAATTATAGACTGGAAAATTACCCAAAAACCTTGTATGAAGGACTTGCCACCCATAAGAATAGGACATCGATGCAGGCGTTTCTAATCGTGGCGAGGTGACGAGGAGGAGCAAAAAAGAAAAAGATAACTGTGTGAGCGCTAATTGGACACCTAACGAAAAGAAAAAGGTATAAGACCAGAGTGCTGGCCCTTGTGAAATCAGATGGCCAGCTGGCATCTCACTTTGTTGAACTGCTCAATAAAGTTACTCTTCTGAGACCTGAAACTTCGACTCTGAAAGATTTCTTCTGAGACCTGAACCAGACTTTGAAGACCTGAACCAAAGATCGAGAATTTGCCACAACACAGCCTCTGCTTTAAAATCTAGTGTAACTTTGGCTTAAATGAAGTTCAAGGGAAAAAGGACCTGGACAAGAGCCACACTTTATGCAAGTAGGGCTCCAGATGAGTGACAAGAGGTTACACTGGTGCGACCACCACGTTGTGCAATTGAAAAGAGCTGCAACTTCTGTTACGTACGATAAACATCAAACGGCAAACGAAACGAAACTGCGCTAACATCCAGCAGCTCCATGATATCATTATGGAGGAGTGGAAGAGTGTCCCAGCAACAACCTGTGCAGCTCTGGTGAACGCCATGCCCAGGAGGATTAAGGCAGTGCTAGATAACAATGGTGCTCTCACAAAATATTGACACTTTGGACACAGTTTTGACATGTTCACTTATGGCGCTTTTCCACTAGACAGTACCAGCTCGCCTCGGCTCGACTTGCCTTTGTTTGGTTTTCCACTGTGTAAAAGTTGTACCTGTGCCTGTTTTCGGGTACTTTTTTTCGTACCACCTCCGGCGAGGTTCTGAGCGAGCTGAGGCGATACTAAAATGTGACGTGAAAACAATGCCGACTGCTGATTGGTCAGAGAGAATCGTCACTATTCACTGCGTCATCATTGCACGCCCCAGATGGAGTATCCAGAAGATAGTTTGGCCAGAGATATTACTAAACTTACTACTATTATTATGGCAACTCGGAAGAATACGCCGTGGTCAAACGAGGAGATGCAGACATTCCTTTGTTTGGTTGCCGAAGAGAGGATCCAGCGAGAGCTTGATGGGGCAACGAGGAACGAAAGGCGTCGCTATGACGACCGGGTACTATTTGTGGCGGTACTTTCTGCAATGGAAAACGGAGCGAAAAGCGAGCCGAGTCGAGTTGGTACTGGTAATGGAAAAGCGCCATTAGGGTGTACTCTTTTGTTCCCAGCTATTTTGACAATAATGGCTGTGTGTTGAGTTATTTTCAGAGGACACTAAATATATACTGCTATACAAGCAGCACATTGACTACTCTAAAATATATCCAAGTTTCATTTCTATAGTACTGTCCCTTGAGAAGATATACTAAAATGTTTGGTGAAATGTGAGATACTGAATATCAGTCGTTACTGTATATTAGGGATGAGTCGCGATCTTCGAATAGTCGAACTGCGTTCGAAATTCGATCATAAAATTGCTTATTCGAATATCGTTACATTTTCGCGCAATTCCAATGTGACATAACTGACGGCGCGCCTACTGTCACGGATCGCGCAGCAGCCTGTCGGGGACACAAGGTGTCACTAACGTGAATGAAACCCCCTCCTGCGCGATCTAGGATACCAGTGTTTTATACATAGTGTAAACAAACAACAGAAGAAGAGCATTGTCGTGACCGTTAACTCTGCGCCCAGCAGAGGTGGATAGACTAACCTTTACCGTCTATGGTAGTAACAAAGTTGGCAACATTTACTTCACTACGTTGGGCGACGTTCCTCTCGTTACTTTATTTTAATGCAATACATGTTGTTAAATGCAGTTCACTGGACCTACAGTTTAGTCTAGTGAAAGCAAATCTGCAAATGCATCATATTTTTGCCCGCGATGAAGATCTTTATTAGTTGAACATCTTCGTATGATGTCAGTGAATGAATGATTCCACAGGACGATACATTCTAGTTCATTTCATTCAGGTAATACATTTTACAACCAAACAGATTATTACTCGACGATAGCACTACAAGTATGACGACATTATCCGTTTTTTGGACATACATTAATTTATAGGCTACATTAAATAAGCTACCATTGTCCACAGTTTATGAAATGAACACCCGCCATCCCGCGGTAATGTGTGTGTATTGCGCAGTGGCATCACACGAATAGTTTTGATTGAAACTAATTTGTTTAAAAAGTAGGCTTTTGCAGTAACAAGGCAGGTTTGCATAAAATCATTATGACATTATTTTTATCTAACGAGCATCTGGTTTGGCGATGCAAAAACGGACTGTCGTGCTTATTGTTTTTTTCTTCTATGTTAAGTACCGGTATGTAAAAAAAACGACGAAAACATGTTAATTGTTCGAATAATAAACAGTTTGTTTGATGACAAATCGCTAAAGATGAAATTGGCCTCCCTTTCTGTCATTGTGAGTGTGCGTTTTTTTTTTGGGTTTTTTTTTGAACGATAATCGACTTTTGCTCCTCGATTTTCGAATGTCATTTTTGGCAGAAATTCACATCCCTACTGTATATCGTCCAATAATATCTTTGTAAGATAATTATTAAATGCTTAGTTTTGTGATCACAGCTCTGTAGTTTTAAAACATATAATGCAATGTAATACAATGATGATTGAGAGATGAACAAATAAACCTTCCTCAAAAGCCTGATGATCATAGAGACTCACATTTGAACATGATAAATGATATGTATGGATACTCAAGTAAAACTAAGTTGTTTCAGTCTAGTAAATGTTCATCTTGAAATATTACTAAAAATATAAAAGTTGTTCTTAAGTTTACTTTATAAAAATCAGTAAAGATTTCACAGCAAGAAGTCACGTGAACCACAAGGTGAAAGTGGACGTTTTTACAATTATACTAAAATGCCTTTTACTTGCTAAAAAAGTATAAACTATCAATCAGACGACAGAAGGCATGTAGTGGATTGTGTGCGATGTTGGTTGTTTCATGTTGTAATTTAGACTTCATTTTTAGGCCTTAGAATTTTGCATATCACTAAAAATACAGTAGGCTTTATAAGGTTAACGTTCAGTTTTCATGTTACCCAGATGCTAAGAGTCAAATGATCATATGTTTATTAAACTGATGAGGTTCTGTATGTTTAAACAAACAACACGCTGACGTTTCTTACCCCCACATGGTCGAGGCTCCCGTATAATGTGTTTGAGCAGCCAGTTTAGCCCCTCATTCATGATCAAACCCCCAAAAAAAGAGATCTGAGAGAGAGAGAAAGAACAAACACCAAGGTATAAAAGATGGAGAACAAGTTGGTATGTTGTTTGGGATTTGACCCAGTACCCTGCTGGTTTGTGACATCATGTGACTCACCGTATGTAGTTCTCTCTTGAAGACGATCAGAGTAACGAATCCGACGAGGATCGCTATGGGCAGCAGGCTCATGCAGGCCAATACCTGCCCCGTCAGATCACCTGGACAAACAAACAGGTTAAGATTCTGCAATTTAGAGTCCTTCTTTGCACACTGAGCGTCAAAACAAACTGTTCAGAATAGTGCATTGCCTTACTACTCTGCAGAATGCAATCTCAATAGACATATACACAAATTTGGATTAAAATGTTTATTATTTCAGAGATGATAAATTGAGAACTGGACACTACTCAACTAAATACTCGGATTTATGCTGTAAATCTATTAAACACTATTAAAGTTGATATTAAATGAAATTTCACCGTATTAAATGCATGTTATAGATATTAGTGTGAACAATTCATCCATGCTTGCGTACGTTTAATTTTTTTTCTCTCCATTGTAACCTCAATGTTTAATCAAAACATCATAACTGGATTTTTCAGTGAAAACGACACACTTACCAATGCAGACACCATGGGAGTGCAAGCTTGTGTTCATTTACTTTTAAAGGGATAGTTCACCCAAAAATGAAAATTTTGTCATGAATTTCTCACCCTCGTGTTGTTCCAAACCCATAAGACTTTCGTTAATCTTTGGAACACAAATGAAGATCTTTTTAATGAAACCTGAGAGATTTCTGTCCCTCCATTGACAGCTACGCAACTACCACTTTGACGCTTTAAAAAGTTCATAAAGAGATCATAAAACGAATCCATATGAATTGAGCGGTTTAGACAAATTCTGAAGAGACTCGATCGCTTTATATTATAAATAGATTGAATTTAGGTTTTTATTCACATATTGATGATCAGTGAACATAAACAGCTCAACCGAACCTGCTTGACACGCAAGAATGAACCTTATTGGTTCTTGCTGAAGCTTAAACGTGCTGCGTAACACGAGAATGAACCTCATTGGTTCTTGTGTGTCAGCAGGTTCGGTTGAGCTGTTTATGTTCGCTGATTAAAGTTTATATGTGAATAAAAGCCTAAATTAAATCGGTTCATCATATAAAGTGATCGTGTCTCTTCAGAAAATTTGGACTAAACCACTCAATTCATACGGATTAGTTTTACGATCTCTTTATGAACTTTTTGAAGCGTCAAAGTGGTAGTTGCTTAGACTGTTGATAAAGGGACAGAAATCTCGATTTCATTAAAAATATCTTAATTTGTGTTCCGAAGATAAACAAAAGTCTTACGGGTTTTGGAACTACATGAAGGTGAGTAACTAAAGACAGAATTTTCACTTTTGGGTGAACAAGTGCATATCCACTTCTCAACATCCAATCAACGATCGATACATTTTTCTTCTTTTAAAATAATCTGTTGTCACAAAATGAAAGAAACTTTGTACTGTCGCTAGTTTCATCGCAACTTCAATGCCAAAACATCATTATGCAAATGTCTTTTAATGAACACATAGATTATTTAGCAGGCCATTAGACGGTCATTCAACTTCGTGCTTACTAGATACATTAAACTATTATCTTTCATTCACTTTTAGACTATTCTGCATTAATAAGATATTACATTACCAATAGTCAATTATAGGAATTATTATACATAAATATTAAGTAATAATGGCTTTGCTTAACAACATTTTAGGTGTTAACACATCATGACATGTCAGAGGTCTGAGAAAATTGTTCACAAGTTCAAGTTGTAATTAATAGTTCAACGAGAACATGAACGCTTTTTACAAGGCGGAATCTCGAAATTACAGTAATTCGACATGCCGTGAACTCATTCAAATAAAATCATGACATAAGCATGAGCTAATGGACAATTCTAATGAACTAAGTTATACACTAAAGGTTATTCCATGCATGCCTAAGAATTGTATTTAAAAACAAATTCCTGAGCATAAAGCACTAAAAGTGGGACATTTCAAAACTGAGATAAAGCAAGCCTAAATGTGCAGTTAAGCAAATGCAATGTTGGCCATACAGTATATGCATGTGTGTGTGTGTTAGATTATTAACTGAATTAGATTATTATATATAAAACATGGTTTTTGCCAAACTGCACATTCAGTCTTGCTTTATCTCATGCATACTTGTGTTGGCAGTGGCACGTTTACCACTCTCGTGCACCATGCATGACAATTTCATATGCAAACTATGTGACAGGAGTTTAAAACACAGTAGACGTTCGTAGTTTTCTTCATGTTCCGCATAATTTCTCTGTGTTTTCGCATTAGCATAGTATATTTCCAACTTGCTTTGACAATGTTCCAGCGTTTTGGGGTCAGTTTATATATTTCCAAACCCAGGGAGACCCTCACAGACGACAGGACCCAGAAAGGGTGTGATGCAACCGGGAATGAACTAGATTAACCCAACAGAGCCACGAGTCTTAACAGAAACTTACAACAGCAGCTGTGCTTGCATTAGACGCAGTCACCTGGCTATAATGCTAGTATTGATCACTGGATTATCGAATCAACCTTGAATTAGATTATGTTTGATTAATAAACCGTCAATATTACTGAGAAACTGAATAAGGGTCTCCCAGTGTGGTGTACTAGTGAGCGTACAGGACCACAGCGCATGAGCACTAAACAAGCGCACTATTTGGCAGCAGGCTTTCCGTTCCCTGCAGAGCGAGCGCACTATTTGGCAACCCAGCCCTGGCCGTGTCCATTCAGCTGCTCGATGTTCCACAGAAGTCGCGGCGCGAATAAAATCGCGTACGATGATATGAACGGCTTTGCGGGGAGAACAACGATTTAAAAATGTTCTTACCAGCCGGATACTCTACGTGGGTTAAGGATATCGACCGCCATCGAGGTGGTGCCGAGCACTGCTCTTCCGACGCCATCTTACCCGGACACCGGGCATCGGTCGTCGACCAATCACAATGAAACGCCCCGACGCGTTCGACCAATCAGATTCACCGGACGCTGCTACGACGCACGGCCATTCACCAAGCGCATTCTCAAAGAAAAAAAATTCTGCACGGGAACAGCCCTCCAATCAGAGGCGGGTTGTTAAGAGGATGGGCCAATCCGAGGACGTTTGGCTGGACAAATGAAAATTGGATTTATTCAAATGAAAGAAGAAAATTAAGTGAATGAGGAAATCCTTTTCAATTGATATCAACAACTACTATGTGAAGGCAGCCGCCAGCGCCACACACTCACTCTGGCCCAACATGCATGTTGATATGCAAAATCTGACGAAAAAGTCAAATATTCAGGGATTTTTTACTTTAATTTTAACATAGAAATAAACAAAATTTGTTCACTAAAGTCATTGATGTTCCCTCACGAATTTTCAATGGGATTTTTTTTAGAATATTGGTTTTGTATTTCAGTAAAATAAGGTCTGTGGTTACCATTACTAAGACACTTTCACATTTTTCTACATCAACAAAGTACACTTAATCATGATTCAAACGTAGGCTGCTGCTAAGAAATACCACAAGGATGTGAGTTCACCACGTTTAATTACTTGGACAACCCTTGTAGTCCTTGTATTGCGAATAGAAGTCTTATGGTTAATTCAAAGGCTACTTAGAAATGCTTTGAGCTTCAATAAAACAGCGGAAGTCTGAAGGCCCTTTCAGACACAAATTAAAGGTTTTAAAAGCATTGGATCAAAGGTCATATTCATTAGGTTTCTTCTACTTAATTATGAAGTATATTTATATCCTATTTATCTAGTGACCACTGTTTCAGAAGTGGTCAGTAGATAAATAGGATATTGTCAGTAATGACACGTTTTAAAGACAGATAGAAAAAAGAAAGACTTTATGTTGGCTAGGGAAGGCAAAATGACAATACAGTTTTCAATAATAAACCAATACAATGATTGTAACGCCATTAATTTGTAAGAACAAAAAGGCATTTGAAGAACACAAATACACACACCAAGAAAAGATTCAAAGAAATAAAAACACGAGTTGTTTCCACCATGCGGTTCGTCCTCTTTGGCCATCATTAGACACAATTCTAACATATTAGACATAAAACAGTGTTGTTGAATTATCTGGGTGCAGAATACAGCAGCTGTGGAGTGAAATAACAACCCCGTTCAATGAAAACATTCCCATATAGACACTGTCATTTCTCTTCTACTTGGTGCTTTGTTTGGATTTAGTTATTATATGAGAAACAGCACATCTATTGGAGCAATCAAGAACTGTACCATAACTTAATATACAAATCAGAGCATGTTACTGTCAGTTAGTAACTCTTTTAGCACATTGGTAAATCTTTAATAATCACATCAAATATCAATAATCTATAGAAGGATCATTGCTTCCAAAATGGGACTCAGACATGAGTGACTGTTTCAGATTTTTAACAATTAAAAAGAATAGAGATGTAGCAGCGCAAGTCGAAACATTATTTCATGAGGTCTTCTTTCAAACCACATGCAGCAGATTAAACAGTGTGTTGGAAAGTTTATTCATTAAAACCCCTTGGAATGATATGAAATCAAACATTTACCATCTCACTTATACCTTCAGTCTGGCCTTGCTACACTAAGTCTTTCAAACATGAAAATAAAATTAATCTTCCGTTTTTGTAGAAAACCCTATTTGTCAGTGTAATTTCAGGTGCACAATCTTAGTTATCCAATTAACAATAATTCATATCAATCAGAGGAATAAAGATGAGTTTGGCAAGAATTAAATCTTTGCATCTAAGCTGGTGCAAATGGTTTTGAGTCACAAAAAAGTATGATTTTAATTCAAGCAGTGCAGAGATCTAATAGCATGAGTTCACGTGTGTATTTAATAAAGACAAATAAAAATATATCCATAAAAACAGAGGCACAAGACAACGAACCACTCATAACCCTGATTCTGACCGCTCAAGTATATCATTCAGTCTTCTTTTATGCTATATATAAATAAGGTCTATTTTTATGAGGAAAAAACCCATATCCATTCACGTTTGCACCTTGCCATTTTAAATAGCTTTTCATTTCAGTTTTCATATAAATTACGGTATCCATCTGTCCAACAAGATTAAATTCAAAAGGTAAACAGAAAACAAAAATTACAAATGCACTACATAAGCTACTAAACAACTGTATATTTTGATAAAAATAGAGAAAATTAACATCTGTATCTTTTCTTTTACCATATAAAGTGCAATACACCCAACACTGGCGGGGCCAGTTTTAAATAGTCAATACAAGGACAAAAGAAACACTATAACGATTTTTAATATCTAATTTCTCGAATGCCTCCTGTGCACAATTAATGAACACGGTCAAGTTTTGCCAAGGCTCAGTGACTTTGAAGATTGTTTTAGACATTTCATGAGCATTCCTTTTAAAATGACCAGAATTGGCCATATCTAAAATTATTAACACTTTAATTAGCACGTTTTGTTTGACGATATTATAGGTTATTGCAGGTAAAATTTATAACCATATGACAGACCAATCAAAAAACCTGCAAGACGCTAGCCAATGTGTTTTGTTGTTTGACTTAAACAAACTTTACCATGGGTTGAATACAATTTAAACTAATTGACAGCATCTGTGCCATTGCCACAGAAAACAAAATAATAATTATATAATTAAATAGTATATGTCCCTCAAAAACAAACCCCCAAAAAATCCACTTTAATTGAAGTCTATGAGGTAAGTTTCACTATTCACCTCAACTTTAACTGAATAAGTGTCAATGCATCTTTTTGTTTGTTTTCACAAAATGAAGTAGTCGTTGCAATTATCGTAATGGCACAGATGCAGTTCATAGTGTTTAATAACTGGCCCTGGAAGGCTTAAACGCACTAAAAAACAAAGTATAAAGCACATTTCTTTGCCACATATATGATGTCGACCATTCCTAGTCACGTAATTGTGACTTATTTGACCCAAAACCACTGATGAATTAAATTTATAATTCATAACAAATATCAATATAATAGAAAAGTAGATAATCAGGAATTTTAGTCTACGAGCGAGCCTGAATATTGATGGGCAAAAACAAGATGTACAAATCAAGAGGACAGAAAAAATAACACACCAACAGCTACATTTCTTTAACAAAAATATCGGAGGCTTCCGCTCTGATGAACACTGTGACTGATATATATAACAGCACAAACCACAAGGGCTACAGCAACTCTCAGAGGACACAAGTGAGCTCAGCTAATGTGATCTGACCGCTACATCCTGTTATAATGACGCACTTCCTGTGTGAGTCTCTCTTTAAAATCCCTCAAACTGCCTTCACATCTAAAACGTGCTGACAGACTTACTCTAATGTTCATAAGTCTGTCTTGATTCTCCCTCTTCATTGTGTTCAGTGCAAGACTTTATTTGGCCATTGGCACAAGCATAAACGCTCAACAACACGCGTTTATACTTAATAATCTGCAAACCGACCAGGCAAAAAAAAAGAAAGGGAAAAAAGCAAGATTCTCAACGAAAGAGGCATCAGTTGATACGGTGTGGGTTTGATTGAGAAGATCTGCAACTCAAAACAAGGCTGCACTGTTTGGCTAAAAGATGCTTTTTATTCAGTTCCTTCAGATCATGGCGAGTTGTTCAATGGTTTCAGAAAGAATCGGTTCCCGAAGCATTCGTCGATCAAGGCGAATCCCAGTTCTTAAAATTGAGGTGTCTATTTAGCAGCGCTGGATATTCGGTGGCAAACTGAAATTTGCAAGGAAAGGCCTCGGTTGACCTCAGATAAGTCTGTAGTGGTTTATCTCTCTAAATATTCGATGAAACGAGACTGTAGCAGTAACTCTTTCCAGTCATGCTGATGAAGAATAGATAAATGAGACCTAGGACCTTTCAAAACTAGATTAGGACATCAAGCATTCTGCACCTCAGTCTTGCTGCTCACTGACGTCTGGATGCCCGCTGGCGGCTTGGCAAGGGCTCTTGGGTAGACTTCCATTGGTCTCAGGTAGTCTGTCAATGCCCAGGTAACCCACCAGGATATCTGCCCGTCTGTGGGACAGACTGAGGATGTCTTCGGCCAGAGACGGGATGGACGTGAAACGCACCTTATCATGGTCAAACATGTCCTTCAGATACTGCACGATCTGTTGCTGTGGAGATCAAAGGAGAACGTGAAATGAAATTCGATATAATCATGCTTGAAGTCTCAATGTGTTTGAGTCGACTGGTGTTTTGCTGGTTTTTAGTGGATATATGAAGTCAGTTCTCAAGTTCACAAAGGTGTACATCAACATATTACGCTAATGACAAACAAACAATACTGAATTTATTCATGTTCAACACTATTATTTTAGCATTTCCAACCAGACAAACATATTTTTGTCAAATGTTTTGCTTGTAAAATGTTTTTGTGCATCTTTACGTACAATAAATGACACTTGTTGTGATAATTTCTTATCTAATGCAATGACATTCAGAGATTTTTAGTTTTAATATATATTTTTTGAAGAAAATTAATAGTTTTATTCAGCAAGGATGCATTAAATTGATCAAAAGTGACAAAAAAAAACATTTATAACGTTACAAAATTTGTATTCATTAAAGAATCCTGAATACTATAATATATCACTGTTTGGCCAAAAATATGAAGCAGCAACTGTTTTCAACACCAATAATAATCAGAAATGTTTCTTGAGCAGCAAATCATCATATTAGAGTGATTTCTGGAGGATCATGTGACGCTGAAGACTGGAGTAATGATGCTGAAAATTCAGCTTTGATCACAGGAATAAATTACATTTTACAATATATTCACATAGAAAACACTTGTTTTAAATTGTAATAATATTTTACAATATTAATGCATTACATTATTTTTGATCAAATAAATTCCTCTTTGTTGAGCATAAGAGACTTCTTTCTAATCCAATGCTGCAATAAATCTTCCCTAAGTGTCTAAATATTTATTTGGGCCACTATTATATTTTATGTTTGACCTACATTATTAGGACCCAAAAGTACTCATATTGCGGTGTGTATTCAGGTTTCAGACCACGCCCCCAACATTATGAGGACATGCTATAAACATTTTAATTTTTCTGTGATGGGTATATTTAAGGTTAGGGGATAGAAAATGTAATTATCTTAGTAGGAGTAGGAGTGCCAACGTGTGTGTGTGTGTGTGTGTGTGTGTGTGTGTGTGTGTGTGTGTGTGTGTGTGTCAAATACATATATACATGTATGTATATAAATATATGAATGTATGCATGTATGTGTATATACAATTACAGGCAGGGTTTATGATCTGATCGCAGACATCAGAGTGTCACAGAGATCAGATTAGCATCAGATTATGTGCTGATCTGGATTACACTTCTTCCTGGATTACTGGGAGGTTTATCTCAGGGGTAACGGAGGAGTGTGGAGAATACTGAGAACGTCTTACCTTGAATATGGTGCACACCTCACTGAGGTGCTGTCGGGGCCCCAGAAACCCGAAAGCCAAAACTGGACTCACATGTTCAGAGATGGCATAGAAATGGGCAATGAAACCGTCAGGAACCTGAGCAACAAACACAAAACAAGCAATGCTATGAAACCTCCAACTTATCCCGACCACACAGTTTGTGCTACAGATATGATTCCTCAAATCAAGCAATGTAGATCAGATGTGTTTCCAGATCCGAACACTAAATTGGATGTTTTGTTTTTAACACTCACCATTAGCAGTCTCCTTTTGGCTTTTAGGACAGACCAACAAGCTGTAGCCAATGCCTTATATAAACAGAGAGAGACACAGAAAGATACAGAAATACAAAGACAGAGAAATTATACACCATAAAAAAACCACTATGAAAAACTTAAAGGAAAACCTCCAAAAAATCTAAATGTATAGAATTTACCAATATTCGAATTGCGTCTTAGTTTCAGCAAACAACCCCCTTCTTATCAAGAACCAGTGTTGGACTATTTAGGATTCTTGGGTTGTTATATGGTTCTTAATTAAAAAGGGTTATTATAGGTTGTTCAGATATGCATATTGTTTTCTGGGTTCTGTAAAGCACCAAAAGATAGATTGTTCCTGAAAACTTCTCTGTGGCACTTAAGATTTTATCCCATGCTTCTTTTTATGGTTCTAAACAAAACCTTTATTATTTTCAATTGTGTAGATTCAATATGTTTGGACTCGAGCTCTAATGTTTTCGTACCGTCTCCTTGAAACTATCCGAGAGCCATCGGTTCCTCAGAACCGCGACCACAGAAGACGGAGGACTTTCCAGATCTTCAAACGCATCCATCAGGATGAAGTCCAGCACAATGTCAAAGAAGTTCATACAGACCACCTAGAGGACAATCAAAGGTCAAAGGTCAGAATTCTGTAAGTCTAAACAAAGAGCCAGGAAGTAAAGTTATTTTAGTATCATGTATATACTATTTTAGTATTTATTAATATTTAGAATTAGCTTTTATTTTTACATTATTGTTTGGTTTGGTAGTTTTGTTATGCATTTTTATTATTATTTAAATTTTTTTTTAGAAATAAACTTATTTTAGTTCTAAATTTCGACAGACAGACAGACAGATAATTAGGAGAAAATAAGACACACCCCTCGTCCATCCAGCTCCATCTTGGTGACTGGCCACGTCTCTTCTCTCTGCGTGTACTGCAACATTTCATCATAACTCTCCAGAAACGCCTTTGGACTCTAAACGTTCACACACATTCAAGAGCAGATGACAAAACCTTAATTTCAAATAAAAAAAAATCCAGACATAAAATTTGAAAATTACTGTTTTTACTTTATTAATTACAGTCTCTAGTTTTATTGTGCACAATTCATAAACGCGTGCTATTTTATTTTTAGAGAATTTTTTTTATATAATTTATATAAAATTGCATATAACTTTTCATCAAAGTGTAGTAACTTTATCCACTTCTGAAACAACTTTCCTTTCTGTTAATTGGTTAATAATAAAAACCAATAATATCACATCATTCTTCTCATGAATAATATAGATCCATTATTACATACATAAATTATTAACCACTGTATATATTTAGTTTCATTCAAAAATGTCACATTACAGTTAAAGGGAACCTATTATGCCCTTTTACAAAGTGTTGATTTTGTTTTTGGGCTCTACTAGAACGCTCTGTCTCTATGAAGCCCCTCCTTCTGAAAAGCACAGTGTGCTCTGATTGGTCGGCTGGAGAAGTGTGCTGTGATTGGTCAAGCTTTTCGAGTCTGTTTGGGAAATGCCACCAGTTTCAACACACTACTAACTAACTAAACCAGGCCCCGCCCCTTTATTCTGCATATATTATTATTTAAAATGAGGAATATTGTAACAGGGAGTTCAGAAACAGTGACACTGATATAGAGAATAACTCCCGCTGGAGGGACTTTGTAACTTTGCAGAGCTATCAGGATGTGAAGAGAGTTTCAACCAGTATAACAAAAATTGTTTATGAAAAGCATTGCTTTAAGTTTAATCTGCATCAGAAATCGTTTTTTTAATCATTTTTAAAAGCACCTTGTTGGCTTTGGCCAGGAGTCCAGATATCATCCGCTTCCCTGTTTCCATGAAGAACATTCTGTGTCTCTCATCCAGCAGTAGCACCTACAGATACAACAAACACACACAGATCAACAGCCCCGTTCCCGTGTGTGTGTGTGTGTGTGTGATCATGTGTGAGAGTGTGCTGACCTGGAAGGCCTGTCGAACGCAGTGCAGTTTGGCAAGGAAGTCATGATCGCTGTAACACTCCAGAAGTTCAGTTCTGTAAAACAGAGAGTGAGTGTTCCCATCAGCCCTTGCTCCCTGAGCGAACATAGAAATCCTCAAATCCCAGAGGAGAATGTGTGAGGGGAACATCTGTACAATACGTGCAGTAGCACACTCGGCCCCATCTCATTTTAGAATCAATACATATGGAGTGCTGGGTTTAGGATATTAATATTCATTGTTTTATTCATTCATTAGCATGTATTGTGAAGGGCAGCCAATTTATTTTATTAAAAGAAACTGGGCATATTGATATATAAAATTATTTATTCACAACTCATTTTGTGACTTTTTAAGATTCAACATTTTCAACAGTTGCTGAGGGTGGAAAATACATATTTAAAAAAAAAATTAAGTCAAATGTATTTCTTTAGCTTTTTTTTTACAATACATATTGTTTCAAAGCAGCTTTACAGAAAATCATGTTTATCTCCTAATATCTTCATACCTTTAGCAAATAAGAGTTGGGTGATAAAACAGTTACATTTTACGGAAGCGTATTGCATTCACTTGAGGAAAAAAATCTACTCTGTTTTTCTGAATTAACGAGTTAATTATCTCAGAATTACGAGATAATTTTTCATGGAAAAAAGCTTTTGCTCTGTTTTTCTGAATTAATGACTTAATTATCTCAAAATTATGAGTAACTCAATTCATAAAAACAGAGTGAAAAAAATGTTTCTCAAGAAAAATGTATCTCATAATTCTGAGATAATTAACTCGTTAATTCAGAAAAACAGAGCAGATTTCTTTTCTTCAAGTGAATGCAATACGCTTCCGTAACATTTTGCTACGATACAAGCAAATTTGATTTGATACATAGTGTACGTTGATTTACGTGAGCAAACTGTAGTGATTTATGCAAGTATACATGCGGATTAAGTTGAACATATATATCCAACTTTATATAAAGAGCTGGGCGATGATACAGTTACATTTTGCAATAAAATTTGCTAAATAGTATATATCGCTTTACATGAGTTATATAACATATATCCAACTTTATATATTTTAGGGTTCAGGGTGCCAGTATGTAATATTTATGTTATTAATATGCAGTGTGTAGTATACACTACCTCAGTGATCTGCATGTCACATTTCCATCTCTCACTAAACCTAATGCTTCTTCGTACAGAGCTGCCGGCTTCAGCGGATGATACGTGTCCTCTAGTGAGAACGTCTCAAACAACTATAGAAACAAAGAAGGAAGTGACATCATATACATGCAGGAGAACTTGCACATGTCTGTTAACACCCGTGTGTGTGTCCTGACCTCAGCCGCAGAGAAGAACGAGTCGTCCGACGTGACTGTCGTGGCATCGTCGTCCCGGATCGGATGGGAGCTTCCCACTGTGGGCAGAATCAGCGTTCCTTCACTCTCTGCACACAAACTACTTCGTTAAGTAAGCTACAATCAGCACACAGGGGACATAAAGCAGGGTTGCCAACTTTTGTTGCCTGGCTGGAGTGAGATTTGATGCCTGAATTAAACTCATTGTTCAATTATGACCCAATAATTTAATTTCTAACTTCATCTTAATACTGTAAATTATCCATACGCTGGATAATGGCTACCGTCAACTGTCTGCTTACCAACATTCAAAATATCTTCTTTATTGAAACCCATACAGGTTTGGAACAACATAAGCGTGAGTAAATGATTAGCATTAGTAAATACAACTTTAGATTTAAAAAATGTAGTAGTAAATGTTGAGGTTAACATTGACTAATATTATTAAGTGTTTTTCAGGTTTTGTTCATGTTAACAAAAGAAACCTTATTGTAAAGTGTTACCTGTGTTACAATATACAACTTGTTTGTCCAGTTTTTAAAATCACTACACTCATTCTTCACTAATTACAGATAAAAAAATTATCTTTATTAAGATTAAAGTTAAAAATTATTTCTTGAGTATATTTTATGTTACATCAATAATATCTACTTCTCTTTTGCAATACAAACGCACAGCTCTATATTGATCACACACTGCAAAGTGCGGGAAGCAATCTGATCTTGGTGCTTAATACAAGTTCAATCGATCATTTTTTTTTTTGAACAAATCAAGTCCCATGCTGGTGTGAAAACCCTGAGCAGATTTATTTTAAAGGTACAATATGCAGGATTTTTCGCCAGCAGGGGTCGCTACCTCTTACAATAACAAAGGCGTATATTGATGACGTAGGCTATATTCTGCATTAAGTGTAATTATGGATCTTGTCGTCAAGCTGATGGATCTTTTATGGATGAGTGAATACATTGATGTTTTTAACATGACTGTGGTGTGAAGCAGGGCGCGATTGCTAGACGTATAACGTTACCAGCGCCACACACAATGCGAGTCCCGCGGATATAAAGGAATAAGGACATTTCATTCAACCGAACTACACACAAGTGCTGAATTAATACTCACACAGGTCAGTTTATTAGACGAATGAAACCTGAGGTAACGCAGCGCTGTTTCACTTGCTCTAACAGTTACACTATCACACTAAACGGCATTTGAGTGTGTTGAATGTTGTTAGTTAGGTTAGGTTGTGTGTTGGCTGTATGAGGCGTTAAGCTAGATCAACATTAGAATAACACACAGATCATATTCTAACATTTCATCATGTTGAACTAAATAACATTGATTAGTTTTATGTACATTTGCTCACCTGTCTAATAAAGTACATGCAACACTCGCGTCTCTGTCAAGTCGAGGTTAGTGGCGGACGTGGAGCTCTCGGCATCTCCAAAGATGTTGATCTTCGTTCTAGTCCTCTTTTTGTCTCAAAGTCTGCTTGCCATGGTCCATAATGTATGAACAAAACAACAGCGTGAGCGTCCTGCTAGGCATAATGGGCATAACCCAGTTGTCAACGTCTGTCGCCATGGTTACTATGGCAGTACGAGGTCAAACCTGGCGGAAACCGAGGGTAACGCGGATATGACGTCATTGACTGGCGACTCCTCACCCCTGCTCACACGCCCCGTTTCCTTGGTTAAAATCGCAATTTTCTCACCATTTACAAATAGTTGGAAACATTTGGGATATTGTAAGTAATCAACTAAACAAAATATATAACATTGGCCTAGTGGTTTTTGGATATTTTACTGCAAAAATCCTACATATTGTACCTTTAAGGTGTCTTTTTATTTGGTGTAAGAGCATTAGACAAAAGACCTTTGGCAACCCTGTATGCCTGTGTTTGTGCGCGTCTGACCCAGATCAGCGAGCAGGCTGTCCGGCGGGATGGTGCTGCCGAAGTCTTCCTGAAGATGATAGGCTCGGTGCAGCAGAGATTCCAGCTTCTCCGCAAACTCATGATTATGAAGTTCAGGCTGAAAATCAAATTGAACAGGAATCACACAGTGAAGAAGGGAGTGAGATGAACACATGATTGTTTGAAAGGCAATGTCTTCCAGTGGTAATTAGGTGAAAAGAGAAAGTTAATACCCACACTGAAATTGCTTCATGTATATGCAGGTCAATATGTTTGACATTCAGTTTACATTAAATCAAAGTCATGGATTGGTTTTGACGTCAATTTGATTTGCATATTTGACCTGTTTTTTGACGTTGATTTTGACACCAATTTGATGTCTTTTCAACATCAATTGCCCACTGGGTTATGTAATGTTTATGAAATTTACCGAATGACGCTCAACAAGTTCTGAGCCTTGCGGGGCGAGACTGCTGGAGCCAGATGCACCGGAGTGATCTCTGTGTCTGATGTTTAAAGCCAGTTCCCACTTCCGAAGGGCTTCCTCAAAAAGCTCCATACCTGCAGGAGGAAGAGACGAAAGAAGACCAACATCAGCTCTACACTAAAAGAAGTCTCTTCTGCTCACCAAGGCTGCGTTTATTTGATCAAAAATACAGTAATATTGTGAATCGTGTAAGTGTTTTCTATTTTAATATATTGTAAAGTGTAATTTATTCCTGTGATCAAAGCTGTATTTTCAGCATCATTACTCCAGTCTTCAGTGTCACATGATCCTTCAGAAATCAGTATAATATGATGATTTGATGCTCAAGAAACATTTCTGATTATTATCAATGTTAAAAACAGTTGTGCTGCTTCAAATTCTTTATGAAGCATTTATTTGAAATAGAAATCTTTTGCAAAGTTATAAATGTTTTATTCTTACATTTGATTAGTTTAATGCATCCATGCTGACTAAAAGTATTAATTTCTTTTTTTTTAAATTCACTGACCCCAAACTTGTGTTTGGTAGTATATGTATTAACCCTTAAAAGTCTCTGAATGTCATTGTATTAGATAAGAATGACAAGTGTCATTTATTGTAAAGAAAGATGCACAAACACATTTTACAAACTGTTAGTGTTAATATAAAAATTTCATGGAAACTGATATTTTTTCAGGATTTTTCTTAATGTATAAAATGTAAAAAAAAACAGCATTTATTTGAAATAGAATTTTTTGTAACATTATAAATGTCTTTACTGTGAATTTTGCCTCCTTGGTGAATGTATTGCTTTTAAATCTTACTTGAACAGTAGTTTAGCATGTAACAAAGTATGCAGTATGGAAGACAATACAATAGATCACAAGACTATACTCCATTACCCATGAGATACAGGTTCTCAGCATTGGCATCCTCTCCGCCTCCCGCCTCCTCTGCCACAGGCTCCGCCTCCCACGGCATCCCGGTGTTCACTGATTGGTTGGGAGAGGAGGGGACTCGCATCTGAGGCAGATTCAAACCAAACGGTTAAAAAGCCTTTTAACAGCAGTTTTGTTGACAAATAAACAGGGAGACAATGCTTGAGTTGGTGAGATTTACGCACAGAGGCGATGCTGTGTGAAGAGCTCGAGTGTTTGCTTTGTGCGAGAGACGAGACGCCGCTGAGCGTGTCATTACTGCGGGTGCTGGGACTCATCATCTGCCGACCTGGAGCCGGACCTGATGAACATATGAAAACAAAAAGAAAAAAATATTCATGTTTTTTGTATAGCATTTTACAGGTGACCATGAAAAACTGATTTTGTTTATTTAATTTTTTTTAAATAAAAGATTTAGTATACAATCATATTCTCACATTCACTCAAAGTAGCCTGATAAAAATGGTCACACACAAAAAAATTATGACTGTTTTTGGTGCAAGAAACCCTGACTAGAATGTAATACCACAAAACCAGTCTTAAGTTGCACGGGTATATTTGTGGCAAAAGCCATTAAAACACTGTATGGGTCAAAATTATTGATTTTTCTTTTATGCCAAAAATCATTAGGATATTAAGCAAAGATTATGATCCATGAAGACATTTAGTAAATTTCCTACCGTAAATATATCAAAATGTTATTTTTGTAAGTGGATGCAGCACAATCACCAACAGAAATGGAAAACTTTAAAGGTGATTTTTCTCAATATTTAGATTTTTTTTTTGCATCCTCAGATTCCCGATTTCAAATAGTTGTATCTCGGCAAAATATTGTCCTATCCTAACAAACCATACAACAATGGAAAGCTTATTTATTCAGCCTTCAGGTGATGTATAAATCTCAATTTTGAAAAATGGACACATAAGACTGCTTTTGTGGTCCAGGGTCACATATTAGGGTTATCAAGCGATCACATTTTTTTAATCTAAATAATTACACGATGTGCCGATTAATTGCACATCAAATTTGGCTGAGAAATTAACCCCCCAAAAAAGATCATTTAAAGTTATTATTGTGATAAATGAGAAAAGAATAATATAGACATTACAAAAATTACTTAATAAATTAGCAAACTCTTAGTCTACAACAGCCATGATTGTTTTTTTCAGCTGCTGTATCTCAACTGGTATTAGATATATTTACAGACCAAAACTTTTTGGTTATCAACATTCGTCAAAATATCTTCTTTTATGTTACACAAAAGAAAAAAAGTCATACGAGTTCAAAACAAAACGAGGGTGAGTAAATGTAGATAAACTGAATTTTCATTTTTGGGCAAACTATCCCCAAAATATGATCTAAAAAATAAAAAAATAAAATAATGAAGTAATACTCTAATTAAGAAACTAAAACTGCCAGTAGGTGGCAGTAAATCTTTGAGTACTTCATTCATTGATTAGTTCAACATTCAGGAATGGCTCTCTTTATGAATGGGCCATTGAAGCGTCTAAAATATAACACAATATTAACTTCTTATTTATTGAACTGTTGTATAAAACACTCATGCTATTCGGGACAAAAACATCACTCGTTTGATATCGCGCTCGTTACTCGTTTGATATTGCAATATCACATTTTATGTTATGATATAAAATTATGAACATTAAAAAAAATGTTAATACTATAAAAGTGTATAACATATAAAAGCAAAATACGCGGACATCCTCACCTCTCTTGAGCGAGGCCGGCCGGCTGGTTCGGAGCAGCTGATCTGGGATGCCCACAGGTTTCTGTGCTTCTTTACCCACCACCTGTTTCCTCTTCCTGCCCCGTCTCTTTAACTGATGTGCGGTCAGTGCCAGAGCGACGCTGCCCAGCGCAGTCGCGAACAGAACCTTCTTCAGATTAGGGCTCAACTTCAGCTGAGAGAATATAGACTGAGGAATTAGAGATAGCAGAATGGAAAAATGGAGAGGGAAGAAAACAAGAATCAGTTATTTGCTGTTTTCGCTTTGCATTCATTATTTAAAAAAAAGAAACTACTCAAAATGACTGAAAAAATCAACAGACTAAAGCAGATTATGATTAATCCATTTAATCCAAATGTTTCTTAGCCTGGGGAAAGGGAATGACAATCCAAGAATAATTGCATAAATAAATCCTTTAATTTTAACCGTTTCATTAAGTGTAACAACGTGTAAAAATCAGTGTTATTATTATTAACTAAAACTATTCTTGGTAATTGAAATAAATCTGAAATAAAATAAGATATAGCTATTAGATTTAAAATCTTAAACTTAAAAACCTAAATTAAACTAAATTTCTAAATGAAAATTAGAAACATTGCCTTGGAAATTAACTGAACTAAGTTGAAGTTGAACAAAAAAACATAAAACTGAAATAAAAATAAACGAATAATAGCTGAATAAAAAAAAGTTTAAAAGCAAAAACTAAATAAAAATGACAAAAACAAAAAGCAAAATTAGTAAAACAACTGAAAAGAAAACTGAAAATATGATTTCAATTTTTAAAAGTAATATTATTAACATATCTTAAAAGCGATTTCAAAATATAAAAAAATACTTTAAATAATACTAAAATAACTGTTTGAAATCTACAATTGTACAATATAAATCAATCTGCAACTGATTATTTAAAATGGGGTCTTCCCATATTTTTTAATGTACTAAATATGGTAGTTCTATCAATATTATCATGTTTTACATGCTTCATTTTATGTCATCAGAGCGGAAAAACTTTCATTTGTAGTTGACAACTCTGCGTAAAATATATCAACTCTTTTTAGACCCAAGTTCTGTCAAATTCTGAAAAATATATATAAAAAAAATGATATTTACATTTTTTAGAAGAGGATAGCAACAATGCTTGGGTGGTAGTAATAGTTAATAGACACTGTGAGTGATAAATAGGCCCATTTTTTCACTTTTACTTGTTAGCAGACAGTATAAAGGGGAAGACCACTGTGGCATCAGTGTGTATATAGAGTAGCAGTGTATGTATTGAGCAGCTGTGTGGCGTATGATCAGATAAACAGAGGCATGTTCACCTGTCCAAAGGTGGAATACAGGAACACCGGTATCTCAGCCACGGTCATAGCCAAGGCCTGCATGATGGACATGCCCTCTGCACTTCTAAATGACATCTCAGCTCCTGCAGACGCGCTCACATCCGACTCGCTCCCGGCAGGGACTCAGTTCTGGCCTCTAGGCTGGTCGTGACACTGACTGGAGATCAGCGGGACTCATCCACGAACAGAGCTTGGAATTACACGTCGCAGTGTTGCAGCGTTACGCATTTCCATTGCCTTGGAGACCAAAACACATCATATGATCATTATAGTGGTTTAGATTAGAAGCTTTGCTTATATTAACAGACTGAAACACGCCATATACAAAACATGTGTCAATACTGGCACAATGAAATATAAGTTAGATAGAAACCTCATATTATGGCATTCTCACGCTTCAATAAATACCTATAAATATCTAATATAATAATCTGTCTCTATGTAATAGGGTAAATCTCACAAAAAATTGTCAGGAACATGCCCGGGTCATATACGCAAGGAAGGAAGAAATTATATTTTGCATAAAGAAAATGAAGCCTATTTCTATATTAAAGATTTCTGGATTATTAAAAAAAATATATGAATTTTCATTACTATAAAATGGGGGACAGATAGATAGATACATTGACAGACAGAGAGACAGACAGATGACTTTAAAATAAAGAACAGATTCAGAAATACATTAATTACAGACACATTTATGCATTAAGTCTAAGCAAATCACACGCCCCTTCATCTGCCATGTGTGACAGTTCAAGACATAATTCTATGAATCATAATAATTCTGCTGCTGCAGAATAAAAGTGGTTCTTGATGAATCAGTTTTCTCAGAAATATAAAAGGTATATGATGTGAAATCAACAAACCCTGCAACTACATCATATATCAATATCAGGAGTCACTGGCAACTACAAAATCACATAGACAGGTAAAAACCTGTTTATTTTAAGGTGATTTATTCCATTATTATTTGCTGTTTTGATCATTCTTACTGTATTTATACTGATTAATAAATAAACTGACCCTGTATGTTTCCATGTCCTTAGACACCAGCAGCACATTAGCTTAGCTCAACACTCATTCACTAGGCTCTTTTAGGACAGTGTCCCAGTCATATAAACATTAATACATGCTTAAAGCAGAGATAAGATCAGGCACATAATAGCAGATTTAATTGCAATATTAAAAGTGAAATACTGAAAAGTAGCCCACACTCACTTTCTCCTGGTTGGAAGGACATTTTCATTCCGCATTGCACACACTAACCTGTGATTTCCTGGTGGGCGGGGCAGAGATTTGAGCGACAGCGGAAAAAACGTATAACGGCTTTAGATGGTTCAGTGGTAACCAATCAGGAAAGAGGAGGCAGGGACGCAAAGCGTTGATTATCCAGTGACATCAACAGTCGCGACGCGACTCTTGCTCTCAAGCTTTATTCTATTAAACCGACATCTGACTGTACCGTACCGAGCACAGAATAATAATAATAATAGTAATAATAATACTTTATTGACAATATAAAAAAATATTACGATTACGTTTAATGTACATTGTTTGATAAAATATGTAGTACTTGGTCCACAATCGTTAGTGGGAATGACACAAAATGACAAAACGATATTTTATTATTCTTACTTACACAGTAGTACCAATACCCGTAGTAATATAGTATGTTATCAGTTACCATGAAAAGCGGAATAATGATGATGATAAATTGAAAACGGTTATTTTTTATTCAAAAATTTGAAATATTTACCATGTCATTTAAACGTAATGTCTCGTTAAAAAAATTTAATAAAAAAAAAAAAAGTATTTCCCCCCCCAAGTAATATGTCTATAAGTCATTTACGCTATATTTATTATTATTATTGTCAATATTATTATTATTATTATTATTATTATGCCTGGAGCACATAGACTGCTACAGTATCATCCAGGTATCATCACACTCACAAGCGGAACTAAAGGTACAGCAGCGTTTTCCTGTGGGAACGTAAATATCAGCGTGCCGAGGAAAACTGTAAGAAGGCTAATCTTACAGCTAATTATGTGGTTATTTATTGTTTTCAATCTCTCCATATATTGATTAACGATTACATTTAAGGCACATATAAAACCATTATATAAGCGCTGCATGTGATTATTGGTGTCTTTGTATATTTACCGTTCGGCTGTGATGTTTATCATGATGTCAGTAGGTTTCTTACAGTAGATATTAATAATAAAAGGTTATTGATCGCATCAAGTTATTACAGTACTGAGCATACTGTCATTGAATTGAATTATTGATTGAATTAGAGTCATTTTTCATATTTTCTCAGGAAAATGAGTGCTTCTTCCCCAGTTGAGCACCTGGGTTGGAGCTTCAGCCTCAATAGGAAATGAAATCCGTGGTATTGCTTTCATATCCCACAGTATGACTGGGAAATGTGTCAGAAAATAGTTTATTATTGACTCTGTCTGGATGAAGCTCACGTGTCTCTTCATCCCTCAGAGGTTTCATTGGATCTGCCTCCTCCTCCTCTCGGTGTGTCTGCTGCTATGGTACAATCATGTGATGAGGACTGGGCTTGCCATGAAGACAGGTCTGCGTGGTTACGTGAGGGTTCATCCCAACACTCGCTCACCTTCATATGTAAGTTGCGTTCCACCTTTGAGCCGTTATACAATTCAGTTAAAAACGATACACATGCTTTTGCTCATATAATGCATTTTTTGAACACTCTGTATCCGCCTTCAGTTGCTGGACTTCCGCTGCGGCCGCTGTGCCGTGGTGTCCAGTTCTGGGCAGATGCTGGGCGGTGGACGGGGTCAAGAGGTCGACCAGCAGGACTGTGTGATCCGGATGAACGCAGCGCCCACCGTGGGCTACGAGGCTGATGTGGGGAACAGGACCAGTCTGCGTGTCGTCTCCCACACCAGCGTGCCACACCTGCTACGCCAGCAGGGATATTTCTTTGGGCGAGAGGCGGGCACTAGATACGTCGTTTGGGGCCCTGAGAAAAACATGAGGCAGGATGGAAAGGGGAAAATCTTCAATGCATTAGTGAGGCTGGCCAAGAAGCATCCACATACACACATCTACACCGTCACCAAAGAAAAGGTTCAGGACTGTGACGCCGTGTTTCAAAACGAAACGGGCAAAAATAGGTCAGTTTCCCCCCTATTATAGCATGTGAGAAAGTAATTGGATTACCATATTATTAAATAATGTGATCTCTTTGTCTCTCTCAGGATGAAATCGGGGGCGTTTCTCAGTACAGGGTTTTTTACCATGATTTTGGCTCTCGAGGTGTGTGACAGTGTTCTGGTTTACGGAATGATTGACGGCTCTTACTGCAGGTGAGTTCAGTTGTTTGAGTTTCATTGTTTGGAAAATCAACTAAATTAAAATAGTTAGGGTCATTTCAGTTACACTTTATTTTAAGGTGACGTAGTTACATAATAAACAACTACATGTACTTACTATAAAGTTATGGTTATGGTTTGGTTTAGGGTTAGTTACTTGTAATTATACATAATTTACTGTTATTATACATGTAGTAACATGTAATTATGTCACTTTAAAGTCACTTCATTCTAGATCTGACATTTTATATATATATATATACAATTCCATCTTACCTGTACAGAAACCAATTTAAAGGATTACTGGACTTGTTTACAGTTTGTACACGTGTGTATTTAAACCTCAGTATATTATGGAATCAATAGATTTATAGTGAATATAAATTAAATTATTAAGTGTATTATATATATATACAGTATAAAGGCACTATTATTTAAAATGAATAAATTAATGATCAGATTAACGTAATTCATGGGCCCGCCGGCGGGCCCATTTGCCATTGCATGTTTAAAACAATAATATCTTAGTAAAAACCTAAAGTAATATTGCCAAACTATATATCATTTGAAAGCTTAAAATCTCTAGTTTTCATATTTGGTGGCTGTTATCTAAAATATATTACAGAGGAGCAGAAATTTATCAATTTGCAACAAGAATATTTCATATTCATTAGGAGTATTTAGGCCTTTATTTTGAAATAACAATAAACATGAAAAATCATGAAAGATTGGTAGAAACCTCAGTTTGTTTTCATGCCATGAGTTCAAAAGATAACACCAATTCCATTTTATGAGAAAAAAAGGTCTGAAAATGTTTTAAATATAAAGAAAAATGTATGGATTCTCGATTTGTAATGCGGCTGCGAGCTATAACGCTATAACGTAGTCTTTATGCATTTATTAGAGGTTTAATTCAAATCAAATACTGCCAAACCACCCCTACTACTTCTGAATAGGATGTCTACTTCATAAATTGTATGAAAATTATGGAAATACATGGTTCAGATCACTCAAAACATATGAAAATGGAGGCGCCCTTATATGGGCAGTAATGGAGTCTGGTGTTCACCTAGTGAAAAAGTTGGGTACTGCGCCCAAATAAAATCTTACTGAAAGCTCATTTTTTGAGATATCAACCTAAAATTTGGAATACAACTTGTTCAGATATTTGACTTTATTTTTCTTGCAGTTTTAGAGTAAAATATATTTTGTAATATATATATTTTATATAAAATATTAATCATTATATTTTTACATTACACAATTTCATAAACTCAAACTTATATAACTTTTTTTCTGTTTCATTTTTTACAATTTCTGGACTTCTACAATAATCTGGAAAATGTCTTCTTTAAAACAAGACCAGCCATAGGTCTATATTCCAAAGCATTCCTGAATTACAACCATTTAAGTTTGGATAGTGATTTTTATGTCTATGCAAAAAAAAGGGGGGTGCCAGTTAACAGGTTAATAAGAATCATGTGACACTGAAGACTGGAGTAATGATGCTGAAAATACAGCTTTGATCACAGGAATAAATTACATTTTAAAATATATTCACATAGAAAACAGCTATTTTAAATTGTAATATTTCACAATCTTACTGATTGACATCCTGTGGGCTTGAATATGACCATGTCAGCAACATTTCGAAGCTTTCCTGCATTCGAGCAGGTCTCTTTTTTAAAAATGATATTTCTCATCATAATGCAGTCCACTAACTTCTCTGCTTTGGCTTGATTATAGTCTCGCCAACCACTCGTTCGTGCCGTACCACTACTACGAGCCGTCCCGTGTGGGCGAGTGCCGCATGTACCGCTCTCATGAACACGCCAAGAGGGGCGGCCATCGCTTCATCACGGAGAAACTCATTTACAGCCGCTGGGCGTCTCGGGGGAAACTGCGCTTCGTTTACCCACCCTGGTCACCATAGTAACATCAACAACAATCTGTGGTTTCAACCGAGTCTGGCTTTGTGTAAAGATGTAGGTCAGTCTTCAGCAATCGTTTCTCCTCGCGAAACCACTGTGGTGCCTTTAGTGTGTCAATCAGTTTGGCTTTTAAATGCTCTGCCTTTGTTTTATATGGTACGGTTTTATTTCTTTAGTTTTAAGCTTCATAATATTCTTAATAATGAGCCTTTTGCATTTCAATATCATATTGAGAGTGTCCGTTTCTTTTCTTTTATGTTAGTCTGATCTCTGGTTAATTAACTGAACTGGATCGGGATCTGAATTCAGGATTAGGGATGATGGCAGTCAAATGACATTTACTTCACATATTTTTCTCTTCTATTGAACAAAAATAATTTAAATGTCTTTCTCTCAATTGAAACAAGAGACCTGGACTGTTTATTCATAGCGATGATCATATTTGCAGAATCATGACTGAATCCATGTATCTCTGTTCTCTACTGTTCTCAGTTAGCAGTAGTCAGAGATTACTAAATCCTTTATGCCAGTCATTTATAAATGTATCCATTTATTAGTCAGAGTCTTGCACAACACTGGCACCAATGTTGTTATTATCAACACTGTGATTTACTCATATTTATTAGCAGAACAATGTTTTTAAGCACACATTTTCAATCACATCAACAAAAGGTTCATTCTGTGTCAAATCAACCAAGTAGAGCGGGGTCAAAATGAGATTTGGAGCCAAATTACAACGGGGTAAAAATGATTTTAGAAGGACGGCAGCATCATTATTTTAGTTTTACACAGAGATTGGCAGGTCTATTAGTAAAATCTGTTGAGTTTAGCAATCTTTGTTGCATTATATGCCAACGGTGACTGTTCAAAAATGGGTTAAAAGGCAGTTTTCATTTGTTTTACCAAAGTTTGCATACCCGTAACTCAAGAAATATTAAAGATGTCTTAATATCCTTTTAGATTCTGGTTCTTAACAAACTTTTCTTTTGGTATCTTTATTTTTGAAATCCATATATGGTTTAATTCCTATAATATATTAAGATTTTGGGATCTCAATATGGCTCCAAGAATAAGTTGAAAATCTAAAAGAATATTGAGATATCTTTAATACTTTTTGAGTTCCCGCCATGCAAACTTTGGAAAAAGATTATTTATTGGACTCAGATCGGTATGCTCTATGCAATTGTTTTGATAAAGGAAAACCTCTTTAAAAGAAAAAAGTATCAGCTGTATGCAAAGTGACCCACGTTTGGTTTTTGACCCCTGAAAATTGGTATAATTTAACAATTTTCTCATAGAGCCATATTGAGATCTCAATATCTCATGGAAAAGCACCATATTGGTCATTAAAAATGAAGATACCGAAAGAAAAGTTTATTAAGAACCAGAATCTAAAAAGATATTAAGTTATATTTAATACTTCTTGAGTTAGAGGCATGCAAACCTCAGGGAAAAAAACTCAAGAAGTGCTTTTTCCCATTTTTGATGCCCATCATTGGCATATAATAAACAAAGATTGCTAAAGTCAGCAGATTTTACTAATAGACCTGCCAATCTCTGTGTAACATTAAAATAATGATGCTGCCATCGTTCTAAAGTCATTTACATATTTTTTTTCCTCAGCTTTCATCCTAACTCTTGCTTGCTTTCATTGCACTTTATTATTATTATTGTGTGTGTGTGTGTGTGTGTGTGTGTGTGTGTGTGTGTGTGGAGTTTATTTTAGAGAATGTGCTTGTTCAACCATTAAAATATAGATTTTGTCCTGAACATCATCTGTTACGTAGAGTTATGTTCATATCTGTGTGCAAAAATAGTGTCTGCAAATTATTTCCACTATTTTATCATTTGCCACAATCACAACCTAACCCAAGAGGTTCCATCTCTATTTTTACTTGAGAATTTTCAGTTCAAGCTGAAAGAAAATGTTACCATGCTTTTATGATTATATAAGTTTATTTTTGTATTTAGTCCAATTTGAAAGGTGCAAAATGTTACTACTGCTCCACATGGTACTATCTTCAATATTCCAATATTGCATGCATGTGTTCTCTGAAGACTGTCTTAGCAATGTTTATCTATTACATGTATTAACCAGAGGGAATGTATGGTTTGTAAATTAATATATAACAAGGTGATGTAATGAATTCATCTCATAAGATGATATTTAGTTTACTGTGTATTTGGTTTTACATTGTGTAATCTTTTTTATACTACTCTGAATTTATTTAATGCATAGCCTAATGTGAGTTATGTGCTTCAAGTAAACATCTAACATGACTTTGTTTAAAAATAATAATAAAGTGTTTTTAAATTTAAGAGATTCTTACACACAGTGTATCCATCCATTTATATGCGATTCAGGTCGTTCTGTGAGGACACTTGAGGTCTTGATATATATCTGACATTTGCATTTATTAAACCAAGAATCGTGATCTAATGTGCATGTGGTTTGTATTGCCTTATTTATTTTGTTTTTTATTTATGAATTATTTTTTAAATGTTCAAGAAATTAATAGTATAACCTGTTACTTGGTATTTTATATCTTAATTCTTAACATACAAATATGTTATATTTATAATATATAAATTCTAATATAAACTGAATAATATTTTTCACAAAATATGGGAAAACAGTTGAAAACGGGGTAAGAGGTCATACATCATACATCATTCAACAAAGAGCGAGCGTGTGGGAGCGTTTTGATTGGTCGATTTGGTGCTGACGTTGTGAGCGTTCGCGTCGCGTCTTCGGGAATGTAAACGCGATGTGCGGCGCATGCGCACATGCCCCATCGGCGGAGATTATAATGAGCCAGCGGAAGAACTGATGATGATGATGCTGCGCGGATACAACAACATCCATAATAAAACCGCGACGCGTCGGTAAGAATCGCGTTCAACCGCCACTGTTGACTGTCTATGAGCGCACAGGTGCGACGAGCCGTGAATCGGTGTATTCTGCAGATCAGACGCGTTATCCTGAGGATCAGATGGGCTCGCGCGCTCCAGCATCACAGGCGGACACCGCTTTATTATGATGTGTGTTTCATCAATGCATGCGTGAATATCATTTGGATTGAAATACTGTAATTCTGTACTTATATGTGGTGTGAATGGCCTTCACAGAGGCCCTGGAGGTATGACAGGTTTGAAAATATGTGTTGCATTATGCTGTTCAGAGCAAAACATTGGATTTTCACTTATCTCTTACCATTATAATCTTATCCATATTTAAATGAACAGGTCAGTTTTAAAGGTGTCAGGTTCCTATAATTTAATGAGTGTGTGTCTCCTGTCAGATTAAAGAATACATTGTTTTAATATTGTGATTCTCTGGACAAGCTGTTTCTTTATTTGCATTTGGTTCATATTTTCATAAATTATCATGGCTTGTGTCAATCTCACGCCATGCGGTTTGTGTTAAGGGAAATGAGTTATGCATCCGTGCTGCATGTTATTTCTGTATATAATTGTGAATTGAATTGGTATATTGTTTACACGCAGGTGTAACATGCAGAAAACTGATCACGTTTCTCTTTCTCTCTCTAGGCATGAAAACTGAAACCTGATAGAAGGGAAGAAGGAGAATGAAACTGCGGATTGTAGATAAAGTAGGTAGAATTTATTTTTTATATATATTTTAAAATTATTTTAAATAATATACATTACCGGGCAAAAGTTTGGAATAATTGCAATTTTTGTAAAAATGTTTTTAAAAGGAATAATTTACAAAACAAAATATTTATTTATTTTAAAATATAATAAAATAAAATAAAAACTGTTCTTTTATACTGTAATAATATTTAACAATATTACTGTTTTTACTGTATTTATGATCAAATAAATGCAGCCTTGGTGAGACCTCTTTCAAAAACATATATATATTTTCAAATTATTCCAAACTTTTAAATGGTAATATATATATATATATATATAATCATTATGAAACTCCTATTGCTTTAGTTGCAGTTCAAGGATCATTACATGCACATATGGATAACTGTCCGATAACGTAGAGTTTGTGTTTTACTCAGCAATGGCAGCAGGGGCAGCGGATGGTGATTTATGGGACGGTCTTCCTCATCACGACCCTCCTCATCCTCTACAGCTCAAACAGCTCAGCTGATCTGAACAGCTCCTTTAAAGTCAGCGAGATTCACCACACGGTCAAAAACACCAACCTCAAGAAATGGGCAGGGAAGGAGGGATACCTTCCTGTTTACGGCAACAAGGTGATCAACTTGTACAAGTCATGAAATTCCCGTTTATATGGCAAAACATTATATGTGTTTTTCTAAAATCTTAAAACCTTTAAAAACCTTAAATCTTCAAGTGCCAAATTTTTTTATATTAGCATATAAAATTATATTAGCATTTTTATTTGAATATTTTCTGATCTTAAAATACAAATGCAAATGTTCTTTTTTTTTGATATTTTGGACAAAATAAATATATTTACATTGAAAATATATATTTTAAAAAAATTGGCAGAATATGTTTGTATGAGTAAATATAAGTAAAATTATTGAAACGTTTTATATAAATATATTTTAACATCTAGATTAGTGTTTTTGTATATTTTGAAATATATATTGTTTGCTGGATTTTTGATGATTTTTTGTAGCATTTATAGCAGTTTGGGTGAGACGTGTATTTTTAATATATTTTGGACACTATAAATATATTTACATTGAAAATATATAAGGAAATATAAGTAAAATTATTGAAACATTTTTCTAAAAATATATTTCTATCTAAATAAACATTTTTTATATTTTCTAATCTTAAAATACAAATGAAAATGTGTTTTTAAAAAACAATTTTTTAATATACATGGCCAGAATATATTTATACAAGTAAATATAAGTAAAATTATTTCACATAAATATATTTTAACATTAATATTAGCATTTTTGTATATTTTCTAATCTAAAATAACATTTTGGGTGAATTGCAAAATGTAGTTAAAAATTATTATTTTTGGACAATATAAATATATTTACATTGAAAATATATATATATAAAAAAATGGCCAAAAATATATGAGTAAATGTAAGTTAGTAAAGTAATTTAAACGATTTTTTATAAATATATATTTAACATATATTTGAGCATTTTTGTATATTTTTAAATATATATTTTTGCTGTATAGATTTTTTTTAGCATTTGTATATATTTTCTAATCTTAAAATACATTTTGGGTGAATGCAAAATGTATTTTTTTTATATATATATATATATATATATATTCGGAAAATATAAATATATTTGCATTGAAAATATATCAAAAATGGCATATGTGATCAAATCTAAGTTGCTCAGTGTGGTGACCTGTTGTTTCAGAGCATGATCCTGCGCTGCCATCACTGTGCATTAGTGACCAGCTCAAGTCACATGTTGGGGACTCACGCCGGAGACGAGATCGACCGCACGGAGTGTGTTATCCGTATGAATGACGCTCCCACCTCCGGGTACGCATCAGACGTGGGGAACCGGACCAGTGTGCGCGTCGTGGCTCATTCCAGCGTGTTCCGGGTCGTCCGCAAACCTGTGGAGTTCCTCAATCGCTCAGACAGCCCTGCCATCATATTCTGGGGCCCGTCGACAAAGATCGGACGCGACGCAAAGGGAACTCTGTTCCGGCTGATCCAGAGAGTCAGCATGACCTACAGGAACCTGTCGTTCTTCGTCATCTCGCCAGGCAAAATGCAGAAGTTTGACGCGCTCTTTCAGAAAGAGACCGGCAGAGACAGGTAAACACCTCCAGCTCCAGATGTCTAGTGCACTTTTAACATCTCCACTTATTTATTTTCAGTGTTTTCTTTGATTGTTTTAATCGAGCTGAGCAATATGGCTGAAAATATTATAATTTTTTCGGTAGCACTTTACTTGAAGGGGTGTGCATAAGACTGACATGACACCTTCATAATCATGACATATGTCATGAATATGAAAGAGGGTTCATGCATGTTTATGACAACTGTCGTTAAGTGTCATTCGCTCAATTATGACATTTTTAATGCAAATATGACATTGCTTGAGATGTGTTTGTTATGGCACCTTGACATAAACCAATACATCATAACCTGTCAATGTCTTGGTAATGACAACTTGACATTACTAAGACAACACAACCTGTCATAAATATGTCATAAACATGACATAGCAGATTAATAAAAATTATTCACAAAAATATTCATGACACAGTTATAATGGCCTCATGACAGCTAATGTCAAAACCAACCACATGACAGTTTAATGTAATGTTAACCCATAAAGCTAAGTGGTTCCTTAAGTTTGATAATTAATCTGCTATGTCATGTTTATGACATATTAATGACAATTTATGTTGTCTTGGTAATGTCAAGTTGTCATTACCAAGACACTGACAGGTTATGATGAATTGGTTTGTCAAGTTGTCATAACAAACACATCTCAAGCAATGTCATATTTGCATTCAAAATGTCATAATTGAGCGAATGACACTTAATGACAGTTGTCATAAACATGTCATGATTATGAAGGTGTCATGTCAGTCTTATGCACACCCCTTCAAGTAAAGTGTTACCCTTTTTTCCATATATTTTGATATCGAAATTTATCACAATATTAATTTCATAATGAAAGGAAGGAAATTCATTCCACATGTTTGTTAGACCTATTTTCTTCTATGTTGCATTGGTTGAGTATTGTTTTGATGGCTATGTTTTTCAGTGTTTGTTATTGTTTCCTGTTTTCACAGAAAAAAGTCCCAGTCCTGGTTAAGCACAGGCTGGTTTACCATGGTGATTGCCATAGAGATGTGTGACAACATCAAGGTTTATGGGATGGTCCCGCCAAACCATTGTGGGTAAGAGAAAAGTTTCACTCCGGTGTTGAATTGGGAAACAGTCAATGTCACCGTATCATTGTGAAAAATACTTATTATTCAATACTTAAAGCCGGAGCCGATGGCCTCATGGGCGGCACTTCAATATGCAGTTGCACTTCGGCTTCGGGTGCCCCGAGTTCGAGTCCCAGCTCGGGGACCTTTCTCGATCCTGTCCCCCGCTCTCTCCCACTTCACTTCCTGTCAGGTCTCTATACTGTCCTATCTCAATAGAGCGCAACAGTTGAACGTAAAAACCTCCATTAATTTTCTCCATAAGGAAATTGATTTTTAACGATAACTTATAAACCTACTGTATATAGACAGCCCTACTGTGAGCTAAATTATTGTTAAAATAATCGTGTTTAACAGTCAAATCTATGGTGATAAACTGTATTACCCATGATGCTGTACAGAAAATCCGAGTCAAAACAAGCAAAATGCACCAGAATCTCTCTTTAGCTCCGCCCACTCCCATGAAGCACTGCGAATGACTAAATCAATTCGGTCTTCATATGCTCTCAAAATACTTAAATATTTTAATATATATATATATGCATATTTTGGCAAACTTTTATGTATATAATCAACATTTTTACATAAGTAGTTCTATATTTCTCCATCAGTTTTGATTATGCTTTTTGCAATGCTTTCCTCACTAAAGCCATTAAGTTCACAGTCTTTTACTTTGTCTTTTTGTCCGGTTTTCACTTTTTTTTTCTTTAAATCAAAGTTTGTAATGTTGTGATTCACCTCGTAGCTGATTGGCTTATGAAAAAGTGGGCGGGCACCGTTGCTCTCTATAAAGGCAAAACAGATGATCTAAGAATAAATCAATTAAATACATTTTCCTGAATTGTCTTCCCTGTAGGAGACGCCCTCAGCCCAAACGAATGCCCTATCACTATTACAAACCCAGAGGTCCAGACGAGTGTGTGACGTACCTGCAGAACGAGAGGGGGCGCCGTGGATCACACCATCGCTTCATCACTGAGAAACAGGTGTTCGCACGCTGGGCCAAGCAGTACAACATTAGCTACGCCCACCCAACGTGGTGAGCAACTTAACAATCCAACGTATTCCGCCTGGTGAGTTGGATCCAAAATGGCGGCTTTTGTAACTGTGTGACCTTCTGATCCAAAATGGCGGCTTTTGTAACTGTGTGACCTTCTGATCCAAAATGGCTGCCATTTCAAATGCATTGCCTGCTCAGCAACTTATCCAGTATGGCTGCTGGTTTCTCTTTGATCTGGATTAGTGACTGAGCCAAAATGGAGGCCATTCAGGGATCCAAGAACAAGCAAAGGACGGACAATCTTTGTTTTCCTTTGGAAAATGAACAGATGATGGAACGTTTATTGTCTTGAGCATGAGGTTTTCAAAAACATCGACATATTACTGCCGTAAAGTTCTCCTACGCCTTCTCTTATACAGTTTATCACCCATAATCAATCGTTTCTCAGAGAATCGAGGCCTTTTGGGACGAGAAAGAGCAAATCCTTTGTGTCAGTTGTCAAATGGAAGATTCAATCACATCTCGTGGTACAATCAACACATCTGAATGTTAGTCATGTAAAAATGTCAGAGAATAGGAACAAGATTGTTTTATTTTGTAAATAAGAACTATGTAAATTATTCCAAAACAAACAAAAAATATTTTTACAAGTTTATATGGTTTTAAAATGCCCTAAACAAAACAATATTACAATAAACTATAGAAAAAAAAAACACTTTTTAAACAACCAGGTAAAGGGTCGGTTTAAATCACATCATTCTCAGATAAACACCACATTCTGTGTATTTTTTTTGGGAAGCGATTGGAATGAAAGTTATTTATCCCTTTATTTCTGAGAACGCTCTCTATATAACGATAACTATATTAGCGTCCACATCAGTGGATGATTTCGTTCTGTTTATATCGCTTCAGTTTTGTCGTCTGTCGCTTTAAATGCTCAAGCTCTTTAAAGCAGGATGGATTCTGATTGGCTGGCAACGTTTTTATTATTCATCAGCTGGACAAAATTGTTCTGATTGTGATTCAAACGATATTGTTTCTCTGTGCCGTTATCGTGAGTTGTGGTGTGTGGACTCTGCTATTCTTTTACACTTCGAATGATTTCTAGAACTATATCTTTATGGTTATCGCTATAGTTATCATACTTGTTATGACTTGTTAAGTCATATGAAACCTGACCAAATGTCAATCAGAGTCGAGCTTCATTAAAACATCCACTACAAGAACATGTCAGGGTCATTTTTTGCCACAAAATCAAAGAAAACAAGAACATTTATTTTAAAGGCCAACAGTATCTAGGAGCATTCATATGTTTTGCATCATTGACCCAGTTCTCATTACAAAATGTGAAAATTGATTTTAATTGTACAGTATGTGTACATGATGTAGTCATATTAAGTTACCTTGCCAAGTAACTGAAATAAAATAAGTTCTAAAATCACTAAAAATGAAATAAACAAATTATTTAATAAATAATAAAATGACTAAAACAAAACATTTAAACTGGAAATATAAAAAAGCTAATTCAAAACATATAAATAATACTAAACATAATTTAATAAATTATGTCTTTTGAATTTGGAGGGTAAATGTGTCACGACGCAAAACATCTTACTGGACCTAAAATTGGCTTCGTGTCAAATATATTTAATTTTTTTCTTTTGATTGTGGGTGAAATATGACCCGGACATATCTTTGTGAAGTTCAACCGAAAAGAAAAAGATGTACTATATTCATCAACACCAACAATCACAAACAATACTGTCGCGTTGAAAGTGTGTCAGCGGTGTGTGTAGAGGCCTTTCGGTTTATTATGACCTTTTTACCAAGTAGTTCTGAGTTTTTCCGGCTACAGCTGTTAGTGTACAAACACACCTATGACTGAATCGCTTTATTTCCAACTTTTCATGACTGTTGTAAATGCTCTGCTCTCATTGGATGATGCCTTTTCTGGCACTGTGCTTTCATTGGAGAATGAATGTGCTGCTTTGAATGTCTTGCCTTCGATTTGTACGAGACCCATAAATAACAGCTGATCCGCTAATAAATAACAAATATCATTAAGTTGATCTTGCATCTCCAATGACGCCTAAAATAAACAAGTGTAAAAAATCAACAAGCATGAGAAGAACTCGTAGCTTTGAATGACATACTTCATTGTAAACATCCCAAACGTAAGAGTTTTAATTTTCACGTCCTGCCTGAAAGATCTCGATTATCACCTGTAATGTTGAAACCTTCCGAGTATTTATTTGGTTTTCATTGATTACGTTCTTGAAAATCAACCGTCTGCACAAGCACAAGAGCAGAGGGATTGTGGGTAATCTATTAAGATGAATTGATTTGCACAGGGTTTCAGACTGAAATCAGTATGTACTATTATTATGATAATGATGATTATTACTCATGGTTGCAGTATTATGACAGTATGAGCTGATTGTTTTGCTCTTCACTCATTATGAATGTTCTTTACATGCCTGTCTTAAAAAAATAAATGTATACCTTTGAAACAGATTCTTGAGTTTCATGATTTGTTTCGGAACAATATTCATGACAGTTCACTGACACAAACTAATAGAGTCGATACAAAATGATTCACAAAATGTACATTGATAAAGAATGCAAAAGTTGTATACACTTTAAATTCATAAGTTCAAAGACTTTTGATTTGACAGATTTGAGTGCACACTTGGTCTGCTCAACTTGCTGCACTTCCTATAGTCCTTCAAAAGTACTTCCTGTGGTCATCCTTTAGACAGGTCAGGAAAGACAGCTGCGATTTTCTCCCTGAGTCCTGATAAACTGATCAATAGAGCCTCCTGCATGAAAGACAACAACATTTAATGAACGGCAGCAGTTAAACAAGAAAGAAAACATGAACGTTTCTAGGGGGGGAAATATGGTTTATTTTCTAGGGCTGGGTATTGACACAAATGTCTCGATTCATTTGGATATATATCAGGTACAGGTAATTTTTTCTTTAAGGAAAAAAATCTCTCATCTAATGCAGTAAACTATACATGAAACTAGGGATGCTCATATTGACCGTTTAACCGTTAATCGAAAGTAAAAAATTTGACTGATTAATACTATTAGTTTAACGTATTAATAGTTAAAAATTTTATTTTATTTTATTTAGTTTGCTGCATGGTTAAAAAAAATACTATATACAGTAGCCTATATTTGTTAACTCACGAGGCGCGTAAAGCTAAAAACTAGACAATGGGTCTCATTCATGAAACATTCGTAAATATACGAGTAAATATGCGAGTGATTTGCGCGTAAAGAGACCTTCCCGAAAACTCTTCTCCTGATTCACAAATACTTCGTAAACGCCAGATGTGATAGTGAAATGTGTGTGTGTGTTAATGAATTCCAATCAGTCGTAAATGGGATGCGCGTGCGCGTTCATTCTCAATTACCATAAATCCCGCCCATTAAATCCGACTGACAACTATATATGGGCATCATATTATGACATGAATGCGAATGAAAAAAAAAAAATTCTCAGATGCAGAAATTGGAAGTTTTATTATCAGAAGTTCATTCAAAACGCCACATTTTATTTTCAAGCGTACATAGTGGCGTATCGGGTCCTAAAAAAAAAGGAAGCTTGGCAGCATATTACAGATGCAGTTAATGGAGTTTCATCTGTTAATCAAACATTCCCAGAAGTGAGAAGAAAATGGCTCGACATTAAGCTTGAGAGCAAAAAACGAATTAGTTCACTTCGGAAAAATAGTATTCAAATTGGAGAAGGACCACCATCGCAGATGCTATTACTGGATCTCATAATAAGAAAAACCATATGTAATTACTATAATATTTTTTCAAAATGCTGTGCAAATATGTACCCGATTAAGGTGAATTAAAATGCAGCCCTATTAATGAGCAAAGCGTTCGGGTGTTAAGCGCACTATTTACGCGTGGCTGGGAGCAGGTGTAGATTTCTTGTGTACCAACTCACATTTGGAAAATACGAACATTTTAATGAATCCGAAAATTTACGCCAGAACCACTTTACACACGATTTACACAAAAATTCGTTCTGCTCGTGTTTCATGAATGAGACCCATTGTGTGGATTGAGGTAGGCCTGCTATTTTTATTTGACGAAAAAACTTAGTCTGGAGGAAAGAAATTGCCGTTTTTTCAAAGCTTCAAACAGATTCAGTGATTTCTTTTTGTCATCTTAATTTGTTAATTATTTAAGTTAAAAAAAATCTAGTGTAGGCCTATTTTATGTTCTTTATTTTATTCTGTTTTTCTCTGTGAAAAGTGCGTGAATATTTGATGTGAATCCAGGTTCTGTTGTTGATCTGTTCTGCTGTTTGCACGTTAAAATAAACCCGTGAAATTTAGCGGGTCACAGACACTCATCAATTTTATTTTTATTTAATTCAATAGGCATTGATAATATTATCAGTTAACTGTTAATACTCGGATAACGAGTGGCGGTTGTCGGTCGGGAAAATTAACCGAAATGAGCATCCCCACATGAAACCCTGTCAGTTGGTACATATTAAAGGTTATATTAAAGGTTAAATGAAACATGCGTTTTCTCTGTCACCTCGGTGCGGATGGTGCGACTGCCCTGGCCAGGACAGGTGTTGAGGTAAAGGTCAAAGAGCACGCTGGGTTCAGTGATGCTCAGATTCTCATCGGCATCAACGCTGGCCTCCAACCCCTGAAGACCACCGAACACCACCAGCATGTGCCTGACAGAGAACAAAGTCGAGTTTCATTTCTCAGCCAATTAAAACACAGCATATTTAAAGGGTTAGTTCACCCCAAAATAAAAATGCTGTCAGTAATTACTCGCCCTCATGTTGTTCCAACTTTTGCTCATCTTCGGAACACAAATTAAGATATTTTAGATTAAATCTGAGAGCTGGATCACTCCTCCATAGGCTTCTTAAGGGATCGAAACTGACCGGCCCAAAAGTTATGAAAGACATCGTTAAAATAGTCCGAGTGACTACAGTGGCTCAATCTTAAGTTTATCAAGCGACGAGAATACTTTTTGTGCGCAAAAATCAAACAAAAATAACGACTTTATTCAACTATTCATTTCCTTCTCTGTACGGCCGTGATATTTCACGTAGTGTAACTGCGCAAAGCTTCTAGGTTGCACGTCACTCATCACACACGACCAGCGTCGGCCAATAGTGAGCCTGCGTGTGACGTACAACACAGAAGCGTTGCGCTGTTACACTACGTGAAATCTCGAGGCCCACAGAGAAGGAAATGAATAGTTGAATAAAGTCGTTATTTTTGTTTGTTTTTTGCGCACAAAAAGTATTCTCGTCGCTTGATAAACTTAAGATTGAGCCACTGTAGTCACTCGGACTATTTTAATGATGTTTTTAATAACTTTTGGGCCGGCAAGTTTCAATCCCTTAGAAGCCTATGGAGGAGTGATCCAGCTCTCAGATTTAATTAAAAATATCTTAATTTGTGTCCCGAAGATGAATGAAAGTCTTACGGGGTTGGAACAACATGAGGGATAGTAATTACTGACAGAATTTTCATTTTGGGTGAACTAACCCTTTAAAACCTGTTAACTGTCATTTTTAACATGAAAACCACATTTACAACTTAAATTGCAATTTAATTAGAGATAAAACAGAGGCCGAAGTTTAGTCTCTTAAAGTCCCCGTGAACCGGAAGTTGCAAACGACTTTTCTCCAGTGTTGTGACGTATTTCCGAGAGAAACGGAATACTAAATGAGGCAAAATGGTGGGCGTGGCTTTTTCCCCAACTAGCACCTGATTGGATCTAGAAAAGTAGGTGTTTTTATTCAGCCTGTCTACTGTCAGTTGGAGGGGCGTGATTACGGATGTTAAGCAGACGCCCAAACCGTAAAACCTACGTCATCAGGCAAGGTCCTCCAACGCAGAGGGGAGGGGAAATTTCAGATTTTGATTAAAGATTACGAAGCCAAAAAATTTTTTTGTGTGGATTGACTTGCATGGATGAATTGTTCACCACAAAACGATCAATTTAGGCAAACAAAGTAAGTATGGTCAATTTTTAATTCATGGGGACTTTAAAGCAGACACATGGCAGATCATTTAAGTGAAAAAAGTTATACATTTTACTAAACATGTTTTATGCTAAAACTGCTATAAAAATCTAAGCCATAAATCTAAAGCTGTTTTCCAAATTTGAGGTTGATATCTCAAAATATGAGCTTTTAGTAAGATTCTGTTTGGGCGTAGTACCAAAGTTTTCCACTAGTCCTCCAAGCTCCAGTGATGATCCATATAAAGATGCACGTACGTCTTGCATGATTGTAGTGAAATGAAATGATATATATAATTATACACAAACCGAAAATATATCATATTTCTTTATATTTTAAATCTGAATATTATCTTTTGAACACTTAGCATGAAAACGTACAGAGCCCTGCACATGACACGCAGACAAAAAAATAAATATAGCCACAAATTAAGAATTTACTCCCTCGTTTTATTAAATTGTGGCCGTGATTTACTAATTTGTTTCCTAGTTTAAGCTAAATCGTGGCCACAAATTAAGAATTCATTCCCATGACTTATTACTTTGTTAATTGTCGCCACGTTGTACTAATTCAATCCCTCATTTAGATTTAACTAAAACAAGGGAACAAATTATTACAGCGTGGCCATGATTAATGCCCACGTTTAACGAATTAGTTCCCTCGTTTTAATTGAACTTAATCAAGGGGAAAAAACTAATTATTACAGGGTGGTCATGATTTAGCAAAACGAGGGAACAACTTTTTAATTCATGGCCACAATTTACTAATTCATTCCCTTGTTTGAGTTAAATCGTGGCCATGAATTACGAATTCTTGTCCTCGAAACTAATTAATAAAACAAGGGAAATTAATTCCCCAATATATTTTTTTCCATAAAACCTAACCGAGGTTTCTACCGATCTTTCATGATTGTATATTTCAAAATAAATGTCTGAACTCGACTTGTGACTCTGAAGAGTAATCTTGTTGCACATGAATAGTTTACTTTTGCTATATCATGTCTATCTGAAATCAGTCACCAAATATGAAACCTGGAGTCTGAAAGCTTTCAAATGATATAGTTTGTCAAGATAACTTTAGGTTTAGAATAAGTGAAAAATATGTAATAGCAAACGTCCCAGTGACAGTTTTAGATACATTCATTAGCCATTAAATAAAACTAACTCAAGACAAAACTCACTTGAATGGAGATAGAGTGACGTGATCGGTGTTGTTTCCTTTCTCTGATGTGCCAATGGTCAGATCATATCCGTCTTTATATGGACACTCGGTGAACACAGCGCCTACACAAACACAAACACACTTTAGCTTTACCGGCTGCTGGAGAATTGAGAATGAAATAGATGAATAAATGTGAAGGACTCACTGAGACAGGGAGCCAGTCGGACGCTGTATCCCCAGTACAGCCCACCTTCAGTCCTCGGCACATGAGGAGCCACAACTACACCTTTATACACTCGCCCATCTGAAACACACACACAGGGTTCAAATAAACAGATATAAAAACTAGTTTAGATCTAGTGTCCACCCGAAGCAGAAGTAAGCTATTTCTGTGAATGTGCGAGACTTCAGATTCATTAGGCGCTGGCTATAGAGTGCATTAGTGCCCGCCCACTTTTTCGGCGGTGCTGGTTCCGGAAGTATTTTTCCATATTTTAAGTTAAAAATATATTTAAAACATGCATATATTCAAATATGTCAGTATTTTGAGAATGTAGGGAGATCTAACACACTTCATGGGAGTGGGCGGAGCTAAAGAGCTCGTTGCTTGTTTCGACTCTCTGATTGGTGGAATTTTCTGTACTGCATCATGGGTAATGTAGTTTTTCACCAGGAATTCCACTGTTAAACAGACTAATTTGAAATAACGCAGACTGACGGCTTCAACAAAAGCAAATTCCATCGATTAACAACCTTGTAGCTCACAGTAAGGCTGTATTTAAAGGAGTCATAATGTGCAATTTTCACTTTTCCATGAGAATCAATGTATGTTATGATTGACTAACGATTATACATTGGCCGGGATGCCGATATTCAAAAGTGAAGCGTTTGTTTACCCCAGGGTTCTTAAACTAGCCAACGTGCACGCGCACTCAAATACGAGATTTCAATTTCTCCCCCGACATGACGTCAAGACGGGGCCGGATATACCATATATGGACACCGCAGAGGAGGCCCGCCCTGCCCCTCTCCCCATCATATTCAGTCAAGAAAGATGCAGAAACGTAGTGCACACGTGAGTTGCTCTGTGTTGACTGTCATAATCCACATTCGTTGGAATCCACATAATGTTTTTTCTTTACCCAAAACTGACCAAACTACAAGGGACAAGTGGATGAAATTTATTTTTAATGACGCTGTTCCAACAACCATCTCAATTGCTCAACGTTAGGTGTCTGCGCTAAACATTTCACAAAAGAATCTTTTACAAATTTGGGGCAATATCAGGCGAAGTTGGCATCGAAGCTACGTTTGGAAAAAGGTGCCATTCCAACAATCAGGGACTTGCCTGAATTTGAAACGGTAAGACTGTGTTTTTATTACTATATTTTGTGTAAATAGCAGCTAACTACTAATGCGTTAGTGTATGTGATGTAAACACGGGGAATGGACTCTACGAATGCTAGCCACATCTTTCCACTTTAAACAGACTAGAAAATGATACAGCTATTATTTAATATAATCGTATACAATATAACAATGACAACATATCATTGTATTGATTTTTTTATATAATAGATAAGGATAGATACATTTAAAAAACAGTCAAGAATTAATAAACATAAAGAAAAACATAACGTTACATGTCTGCAGATGAAAATTATTAAATATCTAAAAAACCACAACGTCAAAAAAGGCAAAAACAACACATTATAGCAAACGTTAATCTCTATAACCACTGTAAGCTGAAAATAAAGTAGACTACATCTCCGTTAATGTAATCTACATTAAATTAAAGCTAAACTTATGTGGGAGAAAATAGCAAAAAAACGTTTTAGCTCGTTACTGATGTTAATGTATGTCTCAGTCAAAAAAATTGTCTTTACCATTCAGAGACATTTTGATGTAGACGTCCTTCTATTGACTGTTGTTACTCTTCCGTTTCCAGCTCTGGTTCAGAGTCTGGCTCAAACATATACGGTTGAATCCCGTAGGTCGCGGCCGGGTCGGGTTCATTAACAACTTGCGCCATGATCTCTTTTTGGAATGATATGCTGAAGTTACCTGCGGTGTCAAGCCCCCTCCTTCCTGCCACCAATCAACGCGCCCCTCATTTGCATTATTAAAATGACCGTCCACGACAGCCAAAACCTCGCATCAGATCTCGCGAGACAATAATGCATTCAGAAATAAGGGTCAAACGAGCTCTGTGTTTATTTTTTTCCAATTTTTCTTTTTTAGAAGGGCATGAAATGACTATAATAGAGCGTGGGTATCAAAGTTAATACTACATTATGACTCCTTTAAAGGTTTATAAGTTATGGTTAAAATTAAATTTCTCTATGGAGAAAATGAATGAAGTTTTTACTTCCGGAACCCGACTGTTGAACTAATAGCTAAATAGCTAGAGGAATAACAAAGTGCATAAAAAAACTATTTGTGCTACAAACCAGTGTGTTTATGATTATATATATATATATATATATATATATATATATACTATAGTTTATGTTTAATAAATAAAATAATATGATATGAACTAAAACTATAAAACACATTGTTAAAAGAATTAGATTGAACTAAATGAACATTTTGAACCCTAACTGAAATAAAACTGAAACTAGTCAACCAAAGTCATATTTATACTCTATAGTGCTTTATACAACACAGATTGTTTCAAAGCAGTTTCACAGTAATAAACAGGAAAATAACAGTTTTAATGAATCAGTTATAAAACTAATTCTATTTCAGCTGATAAGCAGCTCTACGGAAGACAATAGTGTCACTATTCAGCTCACTTCAGTTCAATACGGTTTCAATTCATTTCAAAAACAATTCATCAATTAATATATAGTAACTATAAAATAAAAAATAATTTCTAAATATGAATAAAAACTATAATAGTATATAAATATAATATAATACACAAGCAGTCTGTGTAACTGTGTATACCTTTGTTTTGGCTCTTGTTGAGCTGTACGGTCACTCTCAGCCCCATTTTAAGCTGTTTATCGATCTGAACTTCCTGTAGACAGAATAAAGAGATTGAGGTCCTTTCCTGTTCAATGAAAGGCCAATCAGTCTGCGTGTTTTTAAACACACACCTTCCTCATCCCGCAGTTGACGAAGGACCCTTTCCCCGGTTTGCTAGGCCGATCGAGCACCACCCCCTCTCGAAACTCCGCCTCCTCGTCCATGCGCATGTGATGCGGGCTGTCCAGAGGATTCAACAGACCTGAAACACACACGTTTGAACCGATTATGCAAACATTCGGCTCTAAAACACCATCAGTGTTAGATTATGTGACACTCACCAGCAAACTGCAGGTCTGGATGCTTCGGGAAGAAAGATTTCCGCAGATATCTGCACACAACACAGATGTGATGCCTAAACGTCTACGTGCACATTAAAATGACATAAATCTGAGAGTGACAGCACTCACTGTGGACACTCGAGGTATTGCAGGATGCGTGCGAGCTGGACGCAGGCCTGGCCTTTCTTTCCAATGCCTTTGAACTCTCCCTCAACACTCCTGAAATATTAAGATAATGTTTTGAAGCTTGGACAGTGCATTCATATTGATAACACTGCATCATATTTGCTGAATGAAATCCTATACTTGTTTCGAACTAATATTGGGGTGCTGATTTAAAAAAAAAGTGCCTGTTTTGCTTTAGCACATCACACTTTAGCACATATTATGTGCAATTTGTAGCAGTAGCACTTTTGCTTTTGACGACCATTTCCAAGGTAAAGTCGTCTTGTATTATCCCTTAGTCAGCAGAAAAACTGCCACAATGACATGATCCCTCTCTTCATCTGAACCAATTACAAACATTTGCTCAATTATCAGCCGATTTTCATTTGTATGGCATTATTCAGTCCTTCCAGAAAAAACGCAGAGTTTTTTTGGTGATTGTTGCGGGCAAAAATCCTTGATTATGCGGCCCGTTTTTTTTTTTTTTTTTTTTTTTTTAATTAGTGTTTTATTGAGTTTTGAACACCACTGTTACATTGTAATCAACATTGTGGTCAATATTACAATTGACATCTTAACATATCCCATAGTGATGATACATTTTTTAATAAAAAGAGTTAAAACAGAAGAGATAATAGTAATAAGATAAAAATAAAAATAATAATAATAATAATAATAATAATAAAAAAATATATATATATATATATTAATTTTTTTTTTTAAATAAGATCAATATAAATAAATACACATCAGTCAAGTGTACAGTTTTACAATAAGCACCATGCTCTCATCTGATAGCAATATATTGAACGTATTCCGTTTTCTTATAAAATGCAAAAACTACGGTTTGATGGAAAAAGAGAAAAAAAAGTGATTCCCCAACACCCTGTTCGCACTAGGCTCCTACCTTAATGTAAAGAGTCATTTCTTATTACTATGATAAGCAAGCATAACTACATCACAGAAAGTGCTGGAATATTTCAGTTCTCATCTTGTTTTATTTCAGACCTTAATAAACACATCAAACTTACAAAACATTTATGAGTCAAACAAGTTCTGTAGCTTTACAAAAGGAATATGCTACAACTTCTGTAAAAATGAATAAATAAAATCTAAAAAAATTAAGTGTGCTCCTGTTTTACAGCTTTTCGATGATGTTCACGTCGTGTAATTACGTCACTTCATAACGCTCCCATGGCAACAGCGGGAAACAGCTGCTCTTGTGTGAAGCAAACTTTTTTGCAACGAAAATGCGAGGATTATGAAATCATGCAAGCCCTGGATATTTTGCACGGAAATCGGCAATGTATGCGAAAGTGCGGCGTATTTGAAAAAATGCCCCCGCATAAATATGCAGACTTTGGCTGATTATGCACTAAATCATGCGATCGCATAATCACGTTTCTCTGGAGGGACTGATTATTTAATGCCTAATCCATGATTTCAAGGTTAGAATTATATGCCAGTGACAGAAGAAAATGCAAACATGACCCAGATGTTTTCGGCTACATCTGTGGGTGTTTTACTACTTCCAAACAGTGACAGAAATTGACAGATTTTGTGAAAAAAAAGCCTATTTAAAACCTTGTGTTTACAAAGTTCTTTTACATTAAATATGCATTTTATATGTCATTTAATTGACATTAAAAATGACATTAAAACTGAACACATTTTGCAGATTGTAATCTAAATGATACCTTTTTTAATACTCGAAATCTTTAACATTTGACTGCTTCTGTTATTTTGATAAACTGAGATGCACATACATAATATATATGAAATATCTTCAGTCTTAACATTCAACCTGTAAGTGATGTAAACTATTCCTAATGACTTTTATTGATATTTTTTAACTCAGCATCATCAACTTAGATAATATAAGGCAAATCACAGAATTTGTTGTCAATATGCAGGGCTGTGTAATCAAAGAAAAGAACTACTAAAGCAGCGACTCACTTTGCGTCCTCCTCGCCCAGCTCATCAAATATGACCACCTCATCCACACAGAACACACCACAGGCCCGGGCGATCTGACCCGCCAGGTACGTCCGCAGCTCAGGGGACTGAGCATTATCCATCACTGAGCCAGGCAAAGCCACGCTCAACGTATACACACGACCTGACAAGACAAGACAAACTAGTACGGTTTTACTCTGGTATTGTAGTATATACAGCAGAGCTGCACGATTATTGCGATCTTATTCATGAATGACAACGATTTGTCTGTGTCTATTACACCTTTGACAAGTACGATCACAGCGGTTCATTCAGATCTGCGTTCTGAGCCAGAGAGAGCCGTCGTCATGTAAACATATGAAACTGCTTTACAACCACACAGTATCATTATTTCTGTCTTACAACAATTCATATTATCATAGAAATTATGAGATAAAAGTTTATAGTCGGGCCACTCTGGGAGTCTAAAAGATTGAAAAGCCCTGGGGTCTCATTTATAAAACTATGCGTAGGATCCTTACTAAAAGTGTACGTGTGCCCGAAAGCCAAAAATGGCGTACACAAACAAATATTCTGACTTCTAAAACCGTTCGTACGCCAGAACCTGCGCAGAATTCACTTTATAAATCCCAGTCAGCGGAAGAATGTGCGCACATGCGTCTCCTCCCCGAAATAACCATATATGGAGGAGATTATAACGCCTAGTTTTACTATGCATATCCTCATCTGCATATCATTTGCATATGATTATTCATCCACGTGATAACATATGTTTAACGGTACAAGACATTTGGAAAATATGAAATGCGGATGTGCCGTCACATTAGTTACATTAATAAAAAATAATTTAGTAGCCTATATCCTTGCCTTGTTTTTGAATAAATAAATCAAATAGTGTAAAATACATTTCAGAGAAAGTTTTTCTCAATCTTTTCCACTGGCCAAGTTTAACTGATTTATATTTTTAATGGAAACAGATAGACCTTGTAGTGCATTATTTGCACGAAACTATTTTCTCAGACAATCTGCTATTATCATGATAAGCAATTATCTCTGTAGTTAACACATTAAAACCCAGCATGCCAGAGGAAAAGTGTTTGAAAGCATTGCATCCACAACAAATATTTCTATTCATTGAACATAACAAAATTTTGTAACTTCTCAGTAATGATTTCATGTAGGCCCACTTTAAGTGTCTAACTCCATTAATCAGAATGGCATATTTAATCTAAATGTTTATATCAGAAGTAAAACATTTTTATTTAAACTGTTATTGTAAACATATTTCACAGAACACTGTATTTATGATTATAATGAAGATTTACGGTTTTAGATAGGCTGCGTCAGTTTCACTAAAGAACAAAGGGATGGACATTTAAAAAGGAATGGATGTTTGATGATAATGGTCTAGTACACATTATATAGGGATGTACACAATGTATTTAGTAGTGAAAGTTTGCAATTTTGAAAATACCAAAGCTCTCTCACCTTTACTTTCCTTCTCTTCATGCTGAACCTGCTGCTTATTCTCCTCCTCTTTCTCCTGCTTCTGTTTCTCCAGCTGCTGGATGAGTTTGCTCTCTTTGCGTTGTCTCTTCTCCTCTTTCTCTGGGGATGAAGACACAGACACACACTTTATTATGGCCGTGAGAGGAGCTTTACATAATGATCTTAACCCTTGTGCACCCTGTGTCGTTTTTGATACATTAAATCATTTCTAAGGCCTCTAAAGTAGCAACATGATCAAAAAACCTGTTGCACACAATCTACTACTTGCCTTCTGTCGTCTGATTGATAGTTTAGACTTTTAGCAAGTAAAAGGCCTTTTAGTATAACGTCCTCACGTGTCTTTTTGTCGAGAAATCTTTTTATAAATGTAAACAAGATCATTGATATTTCAAGATGAACACTTACTGGACTGAAGCAACTTAGGTTTACTTGAGTATCCAGAGCTAATTTATTATTTTTAAAAAAACATGTTCAAATGTGAGTATCAAATATGATTATTTCTTCATCTCTCAATCATCATTGTATTGCATTGCATTATATGTTTTAAAACTACAGAGCTTTTATCATAAAACTAAGCATTTTAAATATCATCTTACTAAGAGATATTATTGGCAGATATAGAGTGATGACTGATATTTATATGCATGTATGTTACACTCTTATAAAGATCTTATTGAATTACAATAGAATCTTTAGAATTTCATCTTATTTTTTTGTCCATTTAATATCATAATCTGCATAAAATCGCATATTTTTGCTCAGTTTGAGCCTCTGATTTTTTTTTCTCGAATAAGAGCTCCATATTCTCACTACATCATATAATGAGCCATTAAAGCCTTGATGGGTCAAATATACAAAACACAACACATATGCAAACATTTTTAGATTATTTATGACTATTATCAATGCGTCTTGTGGCTTTCTGATACATTTTTGATACGAAATAGGAATTCCAGCTTGATGTCAAAAACTTTTCTGTAAATGTAGAATATTTTCAAGTTATCACTTACTTTGTCCTTTCCATTTCCTCCAGTTTAATCTCTCTTCACCCTACAAATTGAAATATTATAAACACGGTGACATCAAACTGACATAAACAGGGTATTTATTAATCTTAAATCACTAATGTAAAACAAAACAGCTTGGTAACGAATTTCGTTTTATATCTCCAAATTTATAACGACCACAGTAATGTGAAAAACACAAAATAAACCTCTTCAAACCTCTTTATTTGGGGGTTGATTTGGTTTAATTTTCTTCACTGGAGGTTCATCAGCCATGCTGTCCTATGTGTATCACGTCTATAATGATCCCCGAGAGAACAAAGACTCAATATTTGGTTCCTAACGTTTCTTTCCAAACACTAAATTATTTGCTATTTTGCACCACGGACATTAACTCCTACATTAATAAACAAATATTTCATATATTTATTTTCAGAATGTATATAAAGAGTGGTTAATGCTCAAAACAGACGAAGGTTTGCACTGCAGACATTGCTGTTGATTGTGACCGGAGGCTTTTTACTGACGCGCTTCCTCTACAGAACAGACTCTGAGTGAAGAACATCGCGAACTCGAGTCTTAAATAAAACCATCAAAATATCAGAGGTAGACACCAAACAGCGAATTAAACAACACCTGACAGCTCTATAAACACTTCAACACCACAGATCACATCATGGTAAGAAGAAAAATGTAGCCAGTATCGTGTAAATGTCTTTGTTTAGTGCGAGTCTGGCTGACATGTGGCTGTGTGTGTGTGTGTGTGTGTGTGTGTGTGTGTGTGTGTGTGTGTTTATAATTCGTATGAGTCATATCTGTGCTCAATAATTATATATATACATACACGTAACTACATACTATATACACTACAGATAAACCTATGGTTTATGTTATGAAAATTGTAGTTTTCTTTTTTGTTATGACTATGTTTATTTACACACACGTAGGCATGTATGCATGCATGTGTATACATATACATACACATACTATTACATACATCTATTTTTAATATTTTTAAAAGATGTCTCTTATGCTCATCAAGCCTGCATTTATTTGATCAAAAATACAGAAAAAAATGTAATTTTGTGAAATATTATTACAATTTTAAATAATGGTTTTGTATTTTAATATACTTTAAAATACAATTTATTCCCAATATGCTCATTCTATAACTTTTGATCAGTACTGTGTGTGTATTTTTATATATATATATATATAGCCTATTGTGTACCGTATAATATGCCATAAACCATAGGTTGCTCTAATGTCTAGCCATCTTTTTCCCCCTGTTTATGGGAATACCATAGTACCTTAGTTGCATTATGCAAGAACTGTGGCTCATTACTATGAAGGCGAAGCTTATAATATTTGTGATTCATCTGATATTGTTATTACAAACCCCAGTGAGTCACAGCATTGAAGAGCTCAGCAGATTTGCATGTTATCTTTGTGTTTATATCTGTCTATTTGCTTGCACTTTGATTTGTAATGCGTAATACTTATTACATAGAGTGATATATTTCCCATGACTACCTGTATGTTCAATATAGCTGGAGGAAAGTGGACTCAGTAAGTTCAGTTATGGGCGTAGATATTTGGGAAAACATTTAATAGTCAGTATTACAACTGAGTGTAAACCTACAGACAAAATCAAGTATTCATGTAGTTGAACTTGTAGTTTTCTGTGTTTGTCTACAGCCTCAGAACGAGCACATCGAGCTACACCGCAAGCGGCATGGCTATCGTCTGGACCACCACGAGAGAAAGAGAAAGAAGGAAAGCCGTGAGGCGCACGAGCGCTCGCACAAAGCCAGAAAGATGATCGGCCTCAAAGCCAAACTCTACCACAAACAGAGACACGCTGAGAAGATCCAGATGAAGAAGACGTGAGCTTTGCTTCCCACCAGCTTCACTTTGCTTAAGATATAGGCTAAATGTCAAGGAGGTTTGATGACCTGTTGCATATTTATTTGCGTTACAGCATTAAGATGCACGAGCAGAGGAAGAGCAAACAGAAGGACGATGACAAGACACCAGAAGGGGCGGTGCCAGCGTACCTGCTGGACAGAGAGGGCCAATCACGCGCCAAAGTCCTCTCCAATATGATCAAACAGAAGAGGAAAGAGAAGGCTGTGAGTATCCAATCAGACAGCAGATTTATGATATTACATATTGTTTATATGTCTGTTTATTTATAAGACAAACCATGTGCAAATGCATGTCAACACCATTGCTGAGGATCAATAACGTGGTTTAAAAACGCGTCACAAATATGTAACCAATCCCGTCACGTGCGGTGCGTGGCTTTTCTCCACTGACTTTCTATGATGTTCAAAGTGTTTCTAAGGATGCTGATTGTTAGAAGGCAGCTGTGTGACTCTGAGATGGTGAACTGGAACATGGTTTGTGTGACATTAGCAACACATAATTAGCTGTTTGATAGCATAGTCAAGCAAAAGGCTAATCATATTAATTAGTTGTGGGTCCGACATCGTAGAAAGGGTTACATAAAACGCACGCATTACCCTTCTGAAACACGACCCTGTATAATTCACTCTTCCTCTTCTGAGAGTTTCTGGTTTAAACATATATGGCTGAATTAAACCAGTATTTCCACTTGCCATTGTGCAGCATTTACTACAGTAAAGTTGAGCGAGTGGATCAAGTAATCCGAGCTGGTGTGAGTGGAGGCGGGGCTAATTAGCATATTCATGACTCCGTGAATACTAAATGAGGCAAGGGTGTAGAGTTACATTCAAGCTATTTTAAGGCATGAAGAAATTATTTTTCACATGAAAAACATTTAAATATGTCATTTTGATGATCAAAAATGAGTTTTAAGGGATAAAATTATTGACTACAGGGGGGCTTTAAATGTCGGTCCTGTTGTACACAGTGTTCTTTTATTTTTTATTTTAGTTTTACTATAGTTATATTCATATATTTTAAATTAGCTAAAATTAATATTTAAATTGTATTGTATTTTATTTCAATTAACAGTAGTGTTTTTAATAGTTTTTGTTAACGATAATAACCAACTTGTACCAAATATATGAAACAATTAATTGAAAGCTAGAAGATTCTGCTTTATCTTTTGATAATG